CCAATCCCCGTTTCCGTGTGCTACTGCTGATGGACAAAATCCTGCATGACCCTAAGGACTCTAAACTATGGGAATTATGCTATATTCCTTATAATGGGTCATGCATTTTTTCCATCAGCAGTATCTCTAGCTCAGGAAGGCCAGGTTGGCTGAAGGAAGGGTTTAGGGTTTACGGTCTAGGGCTTTTTTACCCTATGATGACGGTTTAGGGTTTAGGGGTTCAGGGTTTAGGGCTTACGGTTCAAGGTTTAGGGTTCGGGGTTTAGGGTTTTGGGTCTAAGGGTTTCGGATCCTTTTGAAGGGTCACTAGGATGCAATCTTCAGCATGATGGTATCTCGGATCTTCGAAGTCTTTCGGGCTAGAGGTTATAATGATGGTATGTACATGGCTTAATAGTGCGACGGCATACGGCTGTATAGTTGTATTTCAGGTGTCATAATAGCGTTTGGGGTCCGACGGTAGCAATAGAGTATTAACCTAGCATCAGGGTTTAGGGCCCGGGGTGTGGGGTCGAGGGCTTAGTGGTTTGGCTTTACAGCGCCTTGTGACGATAGGGTCTACTACAACAACGTTTCGTGAATTGAATTCTGCTGAGTTGTTGGATGGTTTTTGCAGGGCTTTTATATCAGGATATTGCAGGGCCTTCACCATCAGAATGCAGAGGGACTACAAGAGGATACTGTTGCTAGTAATTCGAAAGGCTCTATCTCAAGCTATAAAAGGGTTTTCATGTTCTATATAGGGCCTCAAATTCAAATGCTTTGACACAAGGTCTCAAGTACGGGGGGTATGGGATTGGGGTTGTGGGTCCTCTTCATGAAGCGAGCATAGCCTCACAGCGGCATGTGGTACGGTGTCTACAACGAGTCGAAGATGTCTAAGCCTTGCAGTAAGCGTAGACGGCGCAGGGGAGCTTCGACACGAGGCAAAAGGCCGCATGCCAGGCGGATGTGTCACAGCCACAGCTGCACAGCCGCCATCATCTCGAAGCGATTGATCTCACGATGCGGGTCAGCAGGTGCAGTCATGGGCGAGATCGACTCGAGGAACTGTGCCACCCGTATGTGCACATTGGCGTAACGCACGATGTCGGTGGTCCAGGCTTCAGGGTTTAAGGGCTCTAGGTTTTGGCTGGTTTTCGGGGGCTTGGGGATTTAGGCTGTAAAGTTTAGGGTGTAGGGTGAAAGGTGCAGGGTTTACGTCTTATTAGAGGGACCTGAATACTTAAACTTTGGGGTTTGGACAGAGTCTAGTGCAAACATATGGGGACTACAATGGGACATTAATTAGAACGAAAACTCTCTTAACCCCGATGCCCAAGCAAGCCTAAACGCTCAACCCCAAGCATAGGGGCCATCCTTATGTAAAGATCCCCAAACAATATAACCTTTCTAAACCCTAAACTTCCCCAAACCCTTACTAGGGTTTTCAGTAGCCCCTTTATAGCAAGGTACACTTCTCCTGCCCTACTTGTCGGGTATCTGGGGTCCTAAAGGTTAACCTTTTTGGTTATATAGGGATTACGTATATAGGGCCTATGCTACCCAAAAAAAAGGTTAAAGGTTACCTACTCTGCTACAAGGCTACTATTCGGTTGCAAAAGCAGAGCCCAGGATGAAAAAGGGCAAAGCGATATTACTCAGGAGCCTAGCTATGACGGGTTGGAGAAACCTTCAGCCCTAAGACCTTAAACCCTAAACTCCTAAACCCCTAAACCTCCAAACCCTAAACCCCTAAACCCCTAAACCCCTAAACCCCTAAGCCCTAAACCCTAAACCCCTACACCTTAAACCCTAAGCCCTAAACATCCCCAGCTGCCTCCGAGGAAGTAGTACATGGCAAAGCGAAACCAAAGCCTCGGGAAGCTGCGAAGGGGTCTATGGTTCAGGGCCTTTGAGGCTTGTACTTGGAGGTTCATGGGTAGTTATACAGAAAGCGTCACCCTCTTACCAATAATAAGGAATATACCATAATTCCATATACTTCCCATAGTTTAGGATCCTTACGGTAATGCAGGATTTATATCATCAGCAGTAGGAATTTGATATTAGATCTCTGTGTTGGCTGCTCGGGGCTTCGGCGCTTTGCTGTCAGCTCGGGGTGAGGGCTCGCGTGGTCTCAGAGCTCTAAACCCCGAACCTTGAACCCGAAGACGTAGGATCTGTGGCTTAAGATCCGACCAGACTTCAGGATTTAGGCTTCAGAGCTGGTTGAAGGAAGATTGCAGGGCTTAGGGTTCAGGGGTTTAGGTATGTAAGGGGGGTTTGAGGGCATAGGTGGGGGCTTTAAAAGGCTTCGGATGTTGGGGTTTAGGGGGTTGAGGGTTTAGTATAGGGGCCTAAATAAATACCAATACTATTTTAGGGGGTTCCTTATTATAGTTACAAAAAAATGGGCCCCAGAATGGCGAGTTTTCTCTGGAACTCTGAAGCGGGCTTCATCCGACCCGGACTTGAAGCAATAGCAGATAGCATTCCTCAACGACTTGAACATAGCATACAGACTTGCCCAGTCAAACGATGCACTCCAGACTGGGATCATTCTGCCTTCTTCATCATGCACTTCCAATCCACGAAGTTCAGGAATCACGTAGAAGTTTGGATCTTGGGACCATGCTACTTCGCAGTGATCACGTAGCAATGCCTTGTTTGTGATCTCCTCTTCTGACTCTAGGAGAGGCTTTCAGCGGAAAGCAAATGGCCAACCCATGCGATCTTGTTGTGATCCCGGAACCCTATTCTGATTATTTAAGCCCCTATTAGGGTTCAGGGTTTCGAATTGAATGTTTACGGGTGCATCGCATAGGGTCTCTTCACAGGATCCTGATGTAGACCCCGGATTGGTTTAGGGTTTAGGGGGTAGGGTTTAGGGTTTAGGGGTTTAGCGTAATAAATCCCCTGTCCCTAAGCGCCTTATCAGTAGGATCCGCATTACGATCGCTTTTTCAAGGAGAGGGGTGAACTCATCAGGGCTCTGCATTACTATTTAGGGTTTGAGTTTAGGTGCTCAGGGCTATGGGCTAGCCAGAGTATGAAAAAGGGAGTGTAATACGTATGGGGCCCTTAAAGAGAAACCCTAAAAGCACAACTCCAAACCCTGTAAACCCCAAATCCCCTTACGTAACCCTTGTAGAACCCTTATAGTAACCTGCATATAGAACACAAACCCCTAAACCATAAAAACCCCCAAACCTAAACCCTAAACCCTAAAACCCCAAACCCCAAACCCTAAACCCTAAAACCCTTAACCTTAAACCCTAAACCCTTAACCCCAAACCGCTCCTGTCTTGAAGCCCCTTACAAGCGAGGTACAGGTCTGCTGCCAAGGCAGGCGATGGGTGTGAGACCACATGTGGGTCCTCTCGCTCACGCACGTGCAGGTGGGTAATTCTCTAAATAAGGGTTCCTTTTCGGGTCCTCTTTATAAGGGTGCCATACTATTTTGGTGACCTAAACAGGGATCTCAATTTAGATAACTCTCCATGTCGGGTTTGGGGGTTGGAGATAGAATTTAGGGTCTATGTAGGATTATGTAGGATTTGGGTTTTGGGGGGTTTTAGGAGTTTAAACCCCTGAACCCTACTGGCCTTGGCCTCGGGGTTTGGGACTTGAAGAAGAACAGGGGGGGAAGCAAACGGACTCAACTGACGCACTCCGTGGCGATTGGCCCACGCTGTCGTAGAGACAGCTAGCCCTAGGCCACTAGCCCGTACAATGCAGTATAAACATGCGTAAGCAAGCATAGTATACCAAACTTTACCACAAAAATCAGAACGTACTATAAAAATACCGTACGACAGTACAGGAAGCCAAGCACAATCCTCCAACAATGTTTAACGGAGTTTCGTCCAGACCTTGGGCAGGGAATGCATGGCAGCGATGGGATGCTCCAATTCAGTGTCTTTCGGCACCACGACTATCAGCGAAATGGCCAATCGGCTTGGGAAGTTCCCCAGTTTCCCGACGTAGCCAAACTGCATTTAGGTTTGAGGGCTCAGGGCTTGTGAACCCTACACCAGTCAAGCCCTTCTAGACTAAAGTACAGCAGCCCTGTACTTTCCGTGATTTTGGGATTGCAAATCCTTACACCCTTACACTAAACCCCAAACCCTGACTGCGAAGCCTTGAAGGATTGCAACCCTCTGATCTCCGAACCATCTTTCAGGATCCCAAGGCTGAGAAGCCTGGATTATGTTATATTGTACTTATTATTATAGCATGATATATCATGTATGCATGCTTAGTTGATTTGATGTCCTTGATGGTTTAGGCTTTAGAATTTACCGTCAATCCTTTGGAGACAGGCATGCTACCAATCGTCCAAGGATGAAAGGCTGAAGGCAAGAAGCGCGACCAATGGTGCTTCGGCTTCTTGTGGTGTAGGGTTTAGGGGTGTGGGTTTATCTTCAAAGCCAGTGGGGTAGTATCTCAACACTAAGTTCAAAGGCAAAGCTGCCCAAAGGCTAAAGCTTACGTGTCCGACTATTGAGAGATTATTATGACAAACTAGAATCTGCTCTAATCTGCTATAACCTACGGAAGGGTATAGCACCAGTTCTCTTCTACTCCAGTAAAGGAAGCCAGCCAAACCTCCAACAACAAACCCTGATTCCCTAAGCCCGCCTTGTTCTCCACGAGACACGTCAGCGTTTGGCTGAACTTGCCATCTACGTCCTGGCAGGGCAAAAGACCCTAAAGCCTAAACGCCGCTCCAAAAAGCCACAAACCCCCTTAACCCCCGTACTCTGGGTGCTTGAGCCCCTTAGAACAAACATCCCCTAAGACCACTTCTATGGCTTTCCCTAGATTTCGTGCCAATACAGGGACCTCAATAGTTTCAGGGTTTTGGGGCGGGCTCTCTATGTGTATTGCTACTTCTTCAGGCCCCCCCATGCTAGCCACAGGTAGATTACAGTACATGTTTATGCGGGCCATCCGACTATATGCGTCTGTTACTGTTGCTGTACGCGTCTTCAACCCTCGTCACTTGGGTGTTGGGGCTAGCTTATACCACTGATGTCCAGGCACGCGCCGCGTGCCACATACCCCTGAAGCCCTGATTCTTGATCGATAGCAGAAGTCCACAGCACAAGCACAGTCCTGGATGAGCCACTTCACATAATAGTTTACCCTCCTCCAGCCGTTAGTCGTACTTCGCGACCGCCAGATGAGGCCGTCAAACAAGGTGTCGAGCAGAAGCGGTGCACCTGGGCAGAGATCCACTTCAAAACCATAAAACCCTATCCCTTATAGTGACCCTTATAGATCCCTTATAGACCCCTTTAAAGGAACCCTATCCTAAACCCTCACAAGAGTTTGATGATTCGAAGGTGGCTTTCGGGGTCCAAACTCTTTGCATGGGGACGTTAGGATCTATAAGGGTTACTATAAGGGATAGGGTTTATGGTTTTGAAGTGGATCTCTGCCCAGGTTCGCGAAGCATACTTGGAAGGGCTTTGGGGGACTTAGTAAGGGCTCTTAAAGGGCTCCTTAAAGGGATCTATAGGGTTCCTTAAAGGCGAAGGTGTTAACGACCATCGCAGGTACTCTTAAATCTTACCTTTGGTTAGTAAGGAATGGAGGAATGGGGTACAATTATAACTACTGTTACTGCCTTTCTTCCATTCCCTACTAACCAGAGGTCAGCAATCAGCCCAGAAAGCCCTTCGAAACCCTTTGTCTTCCTAGGCCCTTTTTTCAATTCTTTTAAACACGGACAGACCGGGGCCGCTGCCCATATATGTATGTGTTTTTAATATGTATGTATGTATATATATATATATATATATATATATACATATGGGTATACCTAAACCAAAAACTTTAATCCCTAAACCCTCCCTAAACCCTAAACCCATAAAGCCCTTCTAAAGACAGCCGCCAGGGCCGGCACTCATGCAGAGCTTCTGGATCAAGTCCTGGTGTCTCTGAAACAGCTCTTCGTAGCCTTGGTCCGAAATTGCCACTTTGGTTTTTTTGGTTTGGGGCTTAAGTTTTTTTGATGTTTAGCGTGTAGGGTTCAGGTTGTTCGGGGGTTTAGGGCTTAGGGTTTAGGGTTTGGAGTTCAGGGTTTGCTGTGGAATAGCACGTAGGCGGTTATGGCTTGCGGCAAGGCTGTGTCGAGTGCAGCGTACAGGGGCGATGAGCTGTCAGCGCCTCTCTATAAAGGTCTTTTCCTTCTTTCTCGCCCACCCCTCGCTGTCTAAGGCGTCCAAACCATTCCATTCAGGGTTTATGATTAAACTCATGACAGGTTTCTTCCTTCCGGACAACATGCAAGGCAGCAAGAGGGCAGGTCACAGGGCACAGGGCACCCTTAAAGGCGCCTCTTTACCCCTCCCGTCCGATCGCGAAAGGCCGACCCATTATGCCAAACCTCTCTGCCCGCTGCCCTCTCCCCGTGCCCTGTGCCCTGTGCACTGTGCGGTTGAAGGTTTACTAAGTGTCGATTTCAACAGCTCCCATAAATATGTATAATTAGGGCTCTATGCATTAAACAATAAGGGAGATTAGAAATTACACAAACTCGACATCTAGTTTAGGGCTCGGGAGGATATTCGAGTTCCTCTAAAGGAGGAGGGTTTGGCGATCTAAGGTTAAGGGCTAACTTAGTTGCTGAGTTCATAAGCCCAAAAACATGTACACTTTTAGTTTTATAGTGGGTAGTACCATCCCAAAAAGTGTAAAGTGCATCCACTCAGCTACTAAGCTGGCTTACGATAAAAGGTCCCCTTTCTGCGACTATTTGGTTTTCAACGACAAGGGGACCCAAAAAGACAAGGGGGAAAAGGGTTACTGCTGAGGAACATGGTAGTTGAGGGCTACGGGTGCGAGGGTTTAGGTTCTAGTTCAGGGCGGCATCTAGATGGTTTGGGTGTTGGGGTCTAGTTCAGGGCGCGATCTTGATGATTTGGGTGTTTGGGTCGGTCTAGTTCAGGTTTGAATGTAGGGTGGAATGTTGATAATTTGTTTGGGGTTTGGGGTGTAAGGGTCTAGCTCAGGGTGGAATCTTGATGATTTACCTGACCTACCAGAACCTAAGTGTTTGGTTGGTTCATATTTGGACTCTACAAAATCGCCTGCTGTCATTATCAGCGAACTTGTGGGTAAGAAAACAACCGGTGTTGAAGGGTTGCTGGATTTTGGTTTTAGGGTTACACTGCTCAAGATGTTGTTCAGGGTTTAACGGGTTTCCACGGAAGTTAATGCGGGCCGGATAAGGGTTCGGAGGGCAGTGTATTACGACAGGGACTATAATCTTAGGGTTTCCCAGTTTTTCTGACCTCTATTTGTTAAGCCCTGAACTGCAACCGCCCCCCCCCACCAAACTCCAGCCCAAGGCGCCGTAGTAGTACACATCCCGGTCTGCTCTGATGGTGAGCAAGTCCTGCTCACGAAGGTTCGCGTCAGGGTGTGCTGGGCTGTGAAGTAACCAGGGAGAAAATTGCAAAAGCGTGATTTCGCTATAACCCTAAACTCTAAACCCTCAGCGGCTCCTTAAAAGGGGCAAGCCCAATGTAATCATTCACAGTAGGGTAATCCAGAACCCACTGTTGGACTTCGGATCCCTACACCCCAAGCCGTCATCCCTAAACTCCGAACCCGACAATAATTACGCCTGGCCATACTTAACTTAGTTGCTGAGTTCATAAGCCCCAAAAAACGTCCCACTTTTAGTGGTATAACACTTCTAGTGTTACAGTGGATAATACTATCCCCAAAAAGTGTAAAGTGTATCCACTCAGCTACTAAGCTACTTACTAAGTCCCATGATCCGCCAGCGACTCCAATATCCCGTAATTCCTTAAATCATACTAGGGGGCACCACTCCAATTCAAGGCCCTTTTGAGGAACCCGAAGTCCTCCTCTATACATCCCTTTAAAAGAACCGGAAGTCCTCCTCTATACATCCCTTCAAAAGAACCGGAAGTCCTCCTCTATGCATCCCTTCAAAAGAACCGGAAGTCCTCCTTTATACATCCCTTTAAGGAACCGGAGGTTTTCCTTGACTCCTCTATACATCCCTTTAAAAGAACCGGAAGTCCTCCTTTATAGATCCCTTTAAGGAACCCGAAGTCTAACGAACCGGAAGGGTGGCTTCTTACGATTGGCCTTAGCCCCGAGAGTTTGGGAGTTTGGGAAGTTCAGGAAACTTCGCTACCCAGACCCCCGGGAGGATCCAAAGAGTAGATCCCTTAATGGGGGTTCCTATAAAGCACCCTTAGTATAGGGCCCCAAATTAGGGGATCTACTTTCCCTTAGAGATCCCTAAACCCAAAACCCTAAAGCGTCCCTTAAAGGAGCCCTTTAGTCAACCCTACTAAGTAGTAGAGAGCCCCAAATTCTCCCGAGGGTCTGGGTACCCGGAGTCTGCAACCAGAGTTGGAGGCTTTAGGGCTTAGGGTTTAGGGGGTCCCGGGCTAGGGGCTTTAGGGTTTAGGGTTTAGGGTTTAGGGTTTAGGGTTAGGTGGTTTGAGGTTTAGGGCTTATGTAGGGGGTTTGAGGTTTAGGGCTTAGGGGGTTTAGGGGCTAAGTTCTGGTTCCATGGACCTTCCTTAAATGAGGCAGCTTAGGATTTAGGTTGCTTAAGCTATGACGTGAGTTGAGCCCACACAATCTTGAATGCTGGACTCCTCATACAGGAACGAGAACTGAAACCCTAAACCCTAACCCTAAACCCTAATTAAACCCTAAAGCCCAGTCATCCACCCCAACCACTCTCAGTGATGATTTACGGCCCCGTACCCTTCTTCAACGACGTGCTTTCTTGCTCACGGCTTCCCCCCGACCTCACGCCCCGTGAGGCACACTGGCATAAGGCGAAGAATATAGGAGAGTTTAGGAGCTCAAATCAGCGTTCAGGTCTTGTTTTGGTCCAAGTTTCACGGGTTTAGGCAGCCGAGTTCTGGGTGCCAGAAAACTTATGTGATCCTCTTTATCCCTGAAGCCTGGAACCCCTAATGCCTAAAGCACCGTGAGCACCCAGACCGAATGCCCTGAAAACCTTAACGTAGAACTCTTAATGCCCTACACGAAGGAGCCTGAGAAGAAGCTATGTGACCTTCTGGTGCCTGGGAACACTAAACCCAAAGCCCTAGAACCCAAAACCGTAAACTCTAAACCTGAGTCAGTATCTATAAGCCCGTACAACACCAAGAAATGCCCTCAACCTTAACACCCGATACCCCCAAAAAACTACACCCTAAAACCCAAAAACCCGCTAAACCCAAACACCCAGGAATCCCTCAAAAACTTTGAATCGCAAAACAGCACGGGCCTGGATCATGGCCCGCGCGCTGTTGAAGCTGCCGGATTCTAGCGCCCAGTACCTCGTCATCTCTTTATTCAAAAGTTTACTTATTATAAACTCTTATTATGAATGGTCTTTTGCTATAATAAGAATCAAAAACAATGTCTTATTCAAGGGTTCCTCATATTTAATGGGCCTTTACTGTAACACAAATCAACAACTCCTCAAGAACATCCAGTTTTGAAGGTCTCTAAGCTAAGGGCTCCTTCTCCAGCATCCCCCCGGTGCTTCAAGCAAGCCTCAAAAGAAAAGAGCAAAAGGATACTACTGCGGGCCGTAGATCATTACGGAACATTCCTTGATTAAGGTATTTTGGAATCGCTCCCTGTCCAACTCCGTACTTCTACCACACGACCCACAATGAGAAGCGGAGCGCGCACGTGGAAGATGGAGCAAGGCATGGGTGGCGCGTACCAAGATAAAGAGGAAAGCGCTACATGGATGAAAGGTGTGTGGTTAGCGGGTTTGCGATTTGGGAGTTTCCGAACATAGGGGATCCTAATATAGTACCCTAAATATTGGAATCCTTATTATAAGGACCCCAAAATGAGGTACCCCTAAGTTTCGGAAACTCCCATTTGAGTTGGGGTTAAGGCGTTTAGGTTTCATAACGCCAGTGCCACCAACCTTGTTTCCATGAACTGCCATCCTAGCAGTCATCACCACCATCATTGTAATGCACGTGCTCGTCTGCCTCTTTGCGATTGGAGCGAAAGCACTTTTTGCATAAATGTGGGGTGTCGGCGGCTTCGAAATGAGTGTCAAATGGAACTTCGCTGGACTACCCACACAGCCCACTGCCACCTGTGTCATCTCTCGAATGGCCGATGCTAACTCCATAACTGCCGCGGCGAGGTCCGGCGACGACAGTCCCGCCACCGGTTGCGGTGGCCCATGTTTCACCACAGGCGGCGCCGGCACTCCAGCCCCATGCTGTGTTTCTCCAGGCCCCTGCGGCACCACTGGCTCTCCCCTATATTATTTGGGGAGTGAGAATAGGCAGATGCGTCTATTGAAAAGCAGCTGCACGAATCAACCCCGTCGAGTTGGAGGATCAAGGGACGTGGTAAGGAAGGATATACCTACTGTAGGGGCCTTAATAATTAACCCCTTATTGTAATAATACTTATTAAGGCCCCTATACCTACGTGAATCGGGGCTAATCGTGATCTTTACGTATACTTGTCTGGTTGATACCCTAAACCCTAAACCCTAAACCCTAAACCTAACTCAGCCCAAAGACGCCTGAAGTGTAACGACCCATGTCGTGCCCAGAAACATGGAGGCGCAGGGTTTCGGAGTTAAGGATATCGAAAAGAGAAGACCGATAGCATCTAAACCCAAACCCAAAACCTACCCAGAGATCCCAATACCCCTTAATTCATGAATATACCTTTAATCAGAATATTAAGGCCCTACGATTTGAGGCATATTCCTTGGTTAAGGGGTATTGGGCCTTCTGGGTAGGTATCCAGGCGGTTTAGGGTTTAGCGCTTCGGGCTACGTCCGATCTGGCCCAGTGAGAGCACAATGACTCAGCAACCCCTCCGCGATCCTGCGCACAGAATTGAACTAATCCCGACACCCAAGACTCAAAATAGCACCTTGATTTCAGCCAAACCTGGAGACCTGAACCTCATTAGCAAAAAGATGAACAACGAAGCAAAAAGGCCGCGACACCTTGAGTAAAACCAACACGTGTTTTCAAGACTAAACGCCAGTTCACCCAAACCCTCAACCCTAGCAAACCGCGAAAAGCGAAATACAACAGCATAATATAGGAGCCTGACTAATTGATACTACTATTGCTGGGGTGGGGGTTCTGAAGTGTAAGTACAGTACAATAAACCCAAAGCCCGATTCCAATTAATTGCTCACCCCACATGCCAGATTTCACATGGAAACCTTTAACCCCCAGGATAGAATAAAGACCCCTATAGTGCCTCTATAGAACCCTTGAAGGGGCTCGTAGAGGAATCTTAGGAGAGTAGGAGTGATTCATTCGAGGCACAGTGGGGAAATCGACTGAGTGCCGCAGGAAACCTCCAGTAGCTCCTTCCCAGGCACGGCGGGTGCTTTTTGGTCTTGGGATCTATAAGGGTTCTATAAAAGGGTTTAGGGATTAGGGTTTCATTTAAGGGTTCCTTTAAGGGCTCTATGGCGGGGGCTTTTTGGTTTAATGAGAATCTGTCAAAGGGGAAATCAGTAGAGTTTCGGGATTTGTTTATCCCATAATCACGTGGGAATCCTTGGAAAGGATCAGAAGCGTTCCTTTAAGGGATCCTTTAAGGGTTCATTTTCAGGGCTTCTACGGCGGCTTTTTCTGGTTTAATGCGGAAGCGGTTCAGAGTTTAGGGTTTACCTTGACCCCAAGTAACCTACCCTTTTAAGGACTTATATAACGAAATCATAAACCGATAAAAGGCAGGTTCCTTAGGGTTCAGGTAGGGTTTAATGGGAATGTTTGGAAAGGACCAGAAGGGCTTGTCTGAGGCGATTTTGGGTTTCGGTCTGCAGGGTCTGTAGGGTTAAGGAATTGGGATTTCAGGGTTTACGGCTCGGAGTTTAGGGTTTAGAGTCTTTAGAGGTTGTTCTACCTGTCCACTGAAAGGCTTTATCAGTGGCGCACAATGTGTTCAAAGGACTATAGGATTCTGCATGCTCTCACAGAGAGCTCCTGGAATACAGGAGAGGCTAAGGGTTCAGGGTCGTAGGATTTTCGGGTCGTGGACCGTCGACCCCAAGCCTTACATCTGCGCCATACACCCCGAACCCCGTACCTGCTGCCCATCCTGAACTCTTAACCCTAAACCGGAGGCCCCAAACCCCAAAGCCAGAAACCCTAAAGCCTCAAGCACCAAACCCTAAACCCCAGAAGCCTTCACGGACTCCAACATCCTTTCATTAAGGAAGATACCTTAAACTATTGTAGGATTTAACGTATAAGACTTCTTTAGTTCCCATGTAGAACCCTTGTAGATCCCTTTAAGGCTCAGCCCTTCCGCTTTCGACCACGGACCCGGACCTTCGCACGACTCCCGCGCGGCGCAACCGCGATGGCCTCAGCGGGCAGAGCTTGGACAGTCAACACCTTTTCACAGCATGATATAGGGGCCTTCAGAATTAGAATAGGGTTCCTTTAAAGGGATCTATAAGGGCTACTATAAGGGCTAATAGTAATTAGAACACACTTAACTGGCATAGGGGATTGCAAGAGCCCCAGGTCTTCTTCATAATGACAAAACCTTAACCCTAAACCCTCCTAAACCCGTACACCCTAATTCCTAAACCCTAAACCCCTTTATGGTTTAGGGCTTGGTGATCCGTTCACAATTGGCGGTGTATTCCTTAATTTAGGGGTGTTGACATGTCGGTGGGTGGAAGTGCTTTGCAGTACATAGACTTAGAGCTTTGACACTCACCTCTCAGATAGTTGCGGGCTTTACAAAATGTCCTGGTAGTGTTTTATCGGGTCTTACAATGGGTCCTCACGCTATGTAGAATTTGACAAGAGTTGGTCGGTTCTGCCATCCTTCGGGCTTTGCAGCTCTTTCTGTGGCAGTACAGACGCTTATAAATTATGAAAATCCACAGAGCTAGAATAGTAGTTCGGGGAACCCTACTTGGAGTTGCAGGGGACTTAGTAAGTAGGTTATAAGTAGGGTTCTAATTGGGGTAACTCCATTTAGGGTACTTATAACTCTACTTATAACCTACTTATTAAGTCCCCTGCCCTTCCAAGTAAACCCTAAACCCTAAACCGTGGCCTGGCAGAACGCTGCGCTTGGACCTTCTAGAACCATCGTTGAAGCCTTGAAGAACCCCTCTACTTGCAACCCTTCCACCCTAAACCCCAGCCCCTAAACCCGATACCCAAACCCCAAACCCCCAACTCCAAACCCTGAACCTCAAACCCCAAACCCTAGACCCTAAACTCAACTTCCCTAAACCCTTGGACTTCCCTAAACCCTGAATCTAAGCCCTATCCCTAAACCTCTTACAGTAAACCCCATAAAGTTGGAAACCGGGTTAAGGCCAAATAGTGCCTGGGATTCCCTATACATTACTCTTAAGGATTGAGGCTATTGGGTTTCCAACTTTTGGGCTTCTACACCCTAAACCCTAAACCCTAAACCCTAAACCCTAAAACCCTAAACCCTAAACTCTAAACCCCAAACCCGAAATGAACCCCTGGGGGAGTCTGGCCTTCCTCAGCGAAAGCTCTGAGTTCACGTTGATGGCCTTCATGACAACTGTGGAACCTCGGGCCCAGGGTTACTATAGGGTTTAGGGTTTAGGGGGGCTTAGGGTTAGTATAAGGACTACCATAAGGGGCTATATTGAGGGTTTAGGGTTTAGGACATAATGGGCTATATAATGGCCAGGTGCATAGATCCCCAAAAAAGGATCCCTTAAAGGAACCCCTATAGATCCCCGAAAAAGGACCCCTATACAAGATCCCTTAAAAGTTCCGTCAAGAAATCTGGCAGCTTGGAGGGGTAGGGGACTTAGTAAGGGCTCTTAAAGGGCTCCTTAAAGGGATCTCTAGGGTTCCTTAAAGGGGATCTATGGGGTTTAGGGTTTAGGGACTTAGTAAGTCGTGTATAAGTAGGGTTATAACTGCGGTAACTCCATTTAGGGCACTTATAACTCTACTTATAACGTACTTGCTAAGTCCGCTAAACCCTGGAAGACGACTATGCTGAAATTAGAACCCCAGCAAAAATTATAATTCTAGCTGTTTCTTAGGGATTATAATAACCAACAATTAACAATTAAATTCTAAGTACCCCTAAGAAGAGGGTTCCGAAGGGCTCAAGGGATGCGTCTCAGGGGTTCGAGTTTAGACTTTCGGGGTTTGGGGCGCCAGGGGTTTAGGATTTGGGTTGCGGGTTTAGGGTTTAGTGTTTGGGTGTTTAGGGGTTTAGGATTTGGGCTAAAGGTTTAGGGTTTGAGGTTTGCGGGGTTTTGGGGGTGTTTGGGGGCTTTGGGGGGTTTGTTTTAGCAGTTTAGGGTGCAGGTAACTATCGTGGAAGCTCACTCGCCTTTGCTTGAAACGTCTTGGGGTTTAGGGCAGCGATTGAGACTGCAGAGCTACTAGTACGAGCTGTACTGATGGAGTTTAGAGCTCATCGCATGGGCGGTGAGAGTGTAGAGCTCGGTGATCCTGGAACCGCTCTCATTGCAAGCTTTCTCAGGGATGACAACGACAACGATGCTGGTGATAGTGATGATAACGACGGTGATGATGGTGATGACGATGATGATGATGATGACGATGATCGTGGCGACGGTGACGGCTTGCGTTGATCTCTCTGCCATTGGCGATCATGCTCGCTTTGTACTTTTGTTCTAACTGGCTTTCAAGAGTTTGCAGTTCGATGTGCGTGTGAATGCAGCTATTGCTGCAGAATCGCCAGCATCGGTGCTAATCACTTGATGGTCGTCGCAGTAGCAGTTTTGGTCGTGCTGGCGATGGGTGATGAGGGTTGTCGTGGTAGCTGCAAAGTAGTCCTCGCCTATGCTGTCAATGCAGAAGGTAGCAGTAGCAGTAAGCAGTAGCGGTAGCCGCAGCACAAGTCTGAACCCCTCAATCCCTACGGTTGATGATCTAAATCCTGCATTACCCATAATGAAGAATATGCAATAATTCCCAAAGTCTAGGGTCATCAAGGTAATGCGAAATTTATATCATCAACTGTACCAGTACCACCCGAGAACCTCGAACCCTACGAGACATCCAGGAGGCCCTCCAGGATCACTCTGACCAGCATCTTTGCCGCGAGATTCAGAGACCAGCGAAAAGCCTGACAAAAAGGGCTTACGATCTGTAGCCAAGCTTTCTGCCATGGCCTTTGGATAGGATTCTTCTAGGGTCAGCCCTACAGCCTAAACCGTTCATGCAGGGTGTACGTTCGGAGGGATTTAGGGCCCTGGGTGGTTCAGGCATAACAAAAGGGGCTTTATAATCAGAGTAAAGGTAATTATTGAAGCCCCTATAGTAGGGCCCCGAATGGTTTCAGGCATGCTGTATGGATCCTCTTCAAACCCTGGCCTCTTGATGAATTCGTGCGATTAGAGGTGGGAAGTTACGCGAACCAGCAACGTGAGACTTGGGGTCAATAGGAGCCTTAACAACTTGAGTTCAGCATATCTTGAAATGTTCTTCACTAGGATACCCAGTAACCTAAGAATAAAAAAGGCCTCTCTTTTTGGTATTGGGTAACTTTATAAGGAACCTAGGACTACAAAAAGGGAATAAGGGTACTACTGGGCATCCTAGTTCAGGGTTCGGTGGTGTTTTGCGGGTTTAGGGGCCTCAACACTTAAAACAGGGCTCATCTGGCGTCCCATTGGGTTTAAAGGGCCTCAAACACTGGAAGAGGGCTCTAGGCACACTATACTCTACGCTGCTTTTTTGAGACTGTAAGGGCTTACTCTTAGCAAGTATTCCAGCTTTACAAAACCACTTCAAAAACATTTGGGGTTGTATAATAGCCCCGTATAAAAAGCCGTTATCGTTTCATTTTCTTCTTATCGTTTTACCACGAAAAATGCGGTACCGTTTCGTCATGTTTTGTTATCGTTTTATTTTCTTCTTATCGTTTTTCCGTCGAACACGGACATGTCAAGAAAAAACTTAACAGCACGGGGTTGTTATACGGTCCCATCTGTAAAATCACATACAGCCCTATGAAACCCTATGAAACCCGAAAGCTTAAAGAAACGCTTTCTACCCATATGTCAATAAAGAGATCTCGTCTGAATATATTCAGGGCTTAGCGTTTAGGCTTTTGCGCTTTAGGGTGTAGGGTTGCGCTAGGGTTCAGTTACTTAGAGGATCACGGGACTTCGTGACCAGGAGTATAGATCAAATAGCTATAACTACTTAGAAACCCTAATTACGGTACTTTGTATCTTATAACCTTGCTTACTAAGTCCCCTGCTCCTCCAAATAGGGCTGTTTAACTGTAGGCTTTAGGGCTTTAAACTTGGATGGCAATGACGGAATCCGGTGCGGACCGAACCCGGACTTTCGGGAGGATCCCAAAAGTAGATCCCTTAATGGGGGTTCCCCAAAAGTACCCTTAGTAGTAAAGGGCCCCAAATTGGGGGCTCTACTTTCCCTTATAGATCCCTAATTAAACCCTAAACCCTAAACCTTAAAGGAGCCCTTTAAGGAACCCGACTAAGTCCCATGATCCTCCCCGGGGAACCAGCAGACTTGTGCAAGTCGAGACCGGCCCGCAGCTCAAGAACGGATACTGCTGGCTAATGTGGGGCCCTTAACAATTAGAATAGAGTTCCCTTAAAGGGGTCTATATAAGGGTTACTATAAGGGATCTATATAGGGGTACTATAATGTAGGGGCCTTAATAACTAAGAGTAGGGTTGGGGGAAATTTTATACTATAGTTATAGTAAGGACCCCCCCAAAACCCGCTTTTAATCATTAAGGCCCCTACATTACTCCGATCCCATATCCACCCCAAATGTATTCGAACTTGCCCCAAAACCCAGCTTAATTATCCAGGCCCCCCCCACTACGGTCGGGGGGTTTGGGTCTGCAGATCAGTGATTCAGGGGGCCGAACCTGCTCGCCGAATAGGCCGGTTTAGGGTTTAGGTTTAGGGTTGAGGGTGGAGCGTTAAAGATGCTTGAGCATGTGGATTAATAGATTAATAGAGGGAGCTGCACAGTGAGAACAAGGTTCTTGAAGCATGTTAATGTTATACTGTGTCTGCATGGCGAATAGAGCGGATCCTATTACTCTACATAGAAAAATTAGGTTAGGGCTTCGGCGAGCGCGGTGCAGTCTTAGGGGCCCCGAAGGAACAGTCATAGTACTACGGAATACCAAATCCCTTCCGAACCGATCGTCTAAGAAAGTCCCTTCCAAAATGAAGGTCTCGATAGGAAGAAGGGGCTTGGTTCATCGTGTACTGGCAACATGACAAGGGCTCCAAAGAGCTACATCTGATACCCCCTACGGACCGTAAGCTTTGAAGCAGAGTCACATCGCCAGCAACCTCGCTCGACTGAACTTCTCGGATTGCCTCGAGGACTGCGGAAAGTTGAACTTCGTGTTCTTGTGGGGCTTGCATCGGGTTTCATTCGGTTGATGATATACATCCTGCATGACCCATAATAAGGAATATACCATACTTCCCATAGTTTAGGGTCCTTAAAATGCTGCAGAATTTATATCATCAACTGTGCGGTTGCCTCTGCTCCAAAACGCGACTAGCTGTCTATGCCCCAAGCCGTATTGTCAGCTTTAGCTCTACAGCGCGGGTCCCCCCAGATCTCCGGCTGTGAAGTAATATAGGGGCCTTAATGATTAGAATAGGGTTTGGGGGTATAATATACGAAAATTATGGTAAGGAACCCCCAAAATAGTATAGGTAATTATATAGGCCCCTACATTAAGCACCCCGGCTTCTGAACAAAAACCCGGAAGCTCTTTATGCTCACGAGGCATTCCCCTTTGTCTTCTACAATAGAACTACAGGCGTCTACAGGGGCGTGCTGTGCGCTCACATGCGAAGCGTGACTCAAGTACCTTAAACCCCAAACCTGCACCCTTGAATCTGAAACCGTAACATCCCGAAAACCCTGAAGCAGTACCTGTGTTCATGTGTCCAGATCCGGTGCAGGACTCGGGTTTTTGGTCGTGGGAGCGTAGCTACCGAGAGACTCCAATATCACTCAATTAGGGAATATACCGTTAATTGTAGTAGGATCCGTACTAGATTTACGCTCTCTGTTTAGGTCACTTTAAGGTTCTGCTATTTGGCAATGTAGGGTTAACATGAAGGTCAATATCCGGGTCGAGGCATCAGGCACGTTGCAGAGTTGGGGATGTGTGAGCACAGACACACAAAAACACACACACACACACACACCGCAATCTTAGGCCTGCTGTTCCGGGCAGCTGTTGCGTAAGCCCCAAGCCCCACACCCTACCGACTCCCAAAGACTGCCCCTGAAGGCGAAACGATTGGGGGTTCAGTTCGAGGATCGGATAGCAGGCCTGCATTAATGTTTCCGAGCAAATTCCAATAAGCAGGATAAGCCCTGAACCTGAAACCTCGTGTGTTTGAACAACTGCAATATATGAGCACACACATGCCAACATGGATGTGTGTGCGTGAGCATGAATGTGCGTGTATACAGGTCGACAAACTTGTAATCGTGGATTCTTGACATGTGTATACAGAAGCCCACGTGCAGCGATGAATGGAAGAATGGAGCCATGTTTATGATATGGTTGCATTAACGAATTTGACTTAGAAGCATGTATGTATACATGATGTTACTCAGCAACTGATGACACATGACATAAAATGTACAGACATATGGAGTGAGGCCATCCAGCATCAGCCTGCCCAAGACAGGACCCAAAATACACAGTTATGCTGGGATTCGGGTTTACGGCTCTTTGTTTAAATGCATTGGCGCTTTCTCCGCTGGACTCGCTCGGGTTTACCATTCAGGGTTTGGGGTTTCGTGCACAATCTACACTAGGAGGAAACCCAACTTCGCATACCAAGTACAAACCCGAAATAAACCCTATAGACCCTAAACTCCAAATACCCTAGGCCCTAGACCTTAAATCCTAAACCCGAAATAAACCCCAAATAGGATGATGGCCGCCCTTCGTACGAAATGGTGTCCGCCGGAAACTTGCAAAGAGGATCATGGGACTTAGTAACTAGGGCTATAGAACAGGTAGCTACAGTTCGAATTACGTAGGGTACAGATGATTTTCCTGACTCAGTCTCCCAGTAGGAACCCAGAGACTCAAACATCCCGTAATTAAGGAATATTCCTTACATCATACTAGAGATCCTACTATAATCTAAGGAGATATCCTTACAAGCGGATGCGTGTTGTTGGTATCCGGGAAGTCTCCGTGAACCGCAGCACGACAAGCAGGGCCTCCACGTAGGCATGCACCAGCGGTGGAAAGAACTCCGTCGGAACACCGTAACCTGCCCGCAGCAGAACGGATTAAGCAGCCGCACAGAAGCACCAAATTAAGATAACACCCCTACTTGATGCATGGCTTTAGTATTCTATGGCCCTTGTCCTGATGAGAAGCTGCAAAACCGAGTACTTCGAAGTTTACTCGGAGGATCGGGGACTTAGCAGGTGAGGCTCCCAGCGACTCCAATTTCCCGTAATTAAAGAATATTCTTAACTCATATTCGGGATCCTACTATACCTTAAGATAGATGCCTCAATTGAGGGCTATTGGAGTCTCTGTGTTTTAGGTGCCCCAATTGGGTGTTAAGCAGTGATAACCGTTACCTGATCTATAACCCTAGTTACGAAGTCGCATGATGCTCGAAGTAGGGCTCTACAAGTACTCTGCGGGTCGTTGTGAAGAGGTTTGCCGGGCTTCGTGAGGGTTCCGAAAGCGACCCAATACAGGGCTTCTAAAGGGGCGATGGCAAGTTTGGAGGGGCTTTATACTTGTAGGGTTTAGGGTTTAGGCTTAGGGTCCAGCTATTCAGATGATTGGGAGGGTGTGGGATTTTGAGCGCAGGGGTTTACCGGAGTATAACGAAGATCCTAGACCATGAACCTTGAGATAAGGTTCGGGCATCGCACCGGTCTCGTATTTGCGAGCATTGCCTACAGACCCAGTACGCTGCCCGACTCCAACGCAAAACCTCGTGACCCCAAACCGAAAATCCTAAACCCCTCAAAACGCCAACCGTTTCAGCCAAACAGCAAACCTTACAGCCTTACAGCAACCCGTATAGAAACCCTTATAGCCTCGTAGCAACACTTGACCCCCAAACTCCCAAACCATTTCAGCCCTAGAGTAGTATAGCAGCTTAGTATCCCGTGTAGAAACCCTTACAGCCTCGTAGCAACACTAAACTCGAAACCCTAAGCAGCCCTTCCAGCCCTTCGGGTGGCAACAGCCAAGCCCCCAAGTTTTAACCGTATTCCCGTCGTCGGTGAGCCAGAAACCAGAAGCTTAAGAAGCTTAAGGTTTAGGTGTATGGGTTTAGGTCTAAGGGTTTGAAGTTAAGGTGTAAGGGCTTACGATCACAAGCTTTTTACGCTTTAAGGTTTAAGGCACCCCTAAACCCCAAACCCTGAACCCCAAAAGGGCGCAGAGTCCGGCCTACATGACGAAGCCCCAGGGCAGAGATCTCGTCTACCATTCTATGGGGCTCGGACAGCATTTCCAGACTGATCTCCTAAGTCCGCACGAGCATTTAGTCGCTAAGTTCCTAGACACATACAGTGAGCATGTAGACATGTGTATATACATATGTGTATACATGCACATACTATGCATCCAGTATATATACATATGCATATATATATATATATATGGGAGTTTCCGAAAATGAGGGGTACATTATTTTGGGGTCCTTATAATAAGGATCCTACCATTTAGGGTACTATATTAGGGTCCCTTGTTTTCGGAAACCCCCATATATGTATTTGAACATATGGGCTTGAACTAAGAGTAACCTAGGAATAAAAAGGATGCCCTTGTTGAATTTAAAGGGGTTATAAGGGAACCTAAACCCTAAAAAAAGGAACAAGGGCCTACTCCGGGTCCTAGATATGGGTCTGTGTGCCTAGCAGGAGCTCGGATCAAGGCCCGGGGCTGTGTAGCTAAGCTACGGTGACATCACGACCCTACCTTCGGTACTGCCCCAATACAGTAACATAAACCCTAAACCCTAAACCCCTAAACCCCTAAACCCTAAACCCCTAAACCCTAACAGTCTACAAAAGGGCTGCTATTAAGGTCCTAACATATCTGTATTATGAATATTATCCAACTGTTACTGAGTAGGGGCAGTGCCCAAACCCTACTACGCATCCAAAGCCCCTAAGGGCCTGTACGATGAATCAGGGCTTAAGAATTACCTGGACCCTAAGGAACCTACCTTTTTAGGGTTTCCCTAATGTGCTTTCTTTGTATAAGTCTTTAAAAAGGTAGGTTACTTGGGTTTAAGAATTAGGGTTGGGAAGCTTAGGGTGTTGGTTTCAAGGTTTGGGAGCCCTACGTGTAGCCCTTCCTAGCATCATCTAGCTTGGTGCTTAGGGCCTAGGGTTTGCCTGTAGCCCAAGACAACCTGAGTGCTTCCAGGAACATAAAAGGAAATGACAATAAGAAACCCGGACAACCTCAAACCCTGAACCCTAAAACTGCCCTTTACAAGAACAAACCCCGCGGAACCTATACTTTTAGGGTACGTTACTCTGATTTCTTTATATAGCGGGCACCCTCAACCTTAAAAAAAACACGTAGGATCAGGTAGGATCCCAGTGCAGCAGGACGTGTCTAGAGTTTTGGATGGCTTGAGGGCTTGACTTTGGGCTGGGGGAAATCTAAAACCTCTTAACTAAAGAGAATAATACCCGTAAATCAGACTACGAAACTTCACCGAAAAAAACTCAAGCTAGCTTCATCAGCTGAGAGGTTTTGACACGAATCCAGCCCCTAAATCGTAAACTCCCCAAACTCTAAACCCTAAACCCTACACTCCTAAACCGTAAACCCCAAACCCCAAACTCTAAACCCTACACTCCTAAACCGTAAACCCCAAACCCTAAACCCTAAACCCTACACTCCTAAACCCCTAACCCTAAGACCGAGCAGCCTTGATCTTGGAGCAAAGCTCGCACAACGACTCCAAAAAATGCCAGGGGTAAGGCTTAGGGTTTAGGGGAGTTTAGGATTCAGGGGTTGGATTTATACCAAAACCTCTCAGCTGAGGAAGATAGCTTGAGTTTTTTTCGATGAAGTTTCGTAGTCTGATGTAAGTTATTAATACTGAACTTAGACCCCTAGCAAAATCTACATCTGTAGCTGCTTCGTAAAGGGTTCTGGTAACCAAAAACCAAAAAACAAACTATTTCTAAGTACCCCTGAAGGGTTCGCCTAAGGATTCTGCGTCGTTGGTGAGTTTAGGGCCCTCGGTAATGAGAATGTGGATTTGGATCATGTTACCGTAGAACCGAGAATAACTCTAAATGCGAGTTTCCGAAATAGGGAACCCTCATCTGGTACCGTAGCTAATAGGATCCTTATTATAAGGACCCCAACATAAGGTACCCTGAATTCTCGGAAACTCTAAACCCTTGTGGAGCCCTGCAAGGGAGCCCTTATAGTACCCTTATAGCAACCCTTTTACGGGAACCCCAAGGTACCCCTACTTTTCGGAAACTCCCAAACCGCAGGCCTTATAGGGTCGGTCCTATCTCCTTCAGGGGCCTGAGCGACTTCTTCCTTATCCGTTGGGGAGGGGTCCTTATCATCACATTAGTACTTGTTAGATGAAAGCTCACATATTGTACACTATATTATCATAAGGGTAGTATTTTTTAAATAATAGCATACATATTGTATACTATATGTTAACATGTATATAACACAACCCCAGAGCCCGTAGGGACCCACGGCCCCAAGGCGTAAATACCCGTTCACTGCACACCAATTCCTGAACCCTACCCTCGACCCTAAACCCCTGAACTCCAAGCCGTCGAAGATAGACCCTAGGCCCCAAATGGGAGTTTCCGAAATATGGGGGACCCTGATATAGCACCGACAATAGTAGGATCCTTATTATGAGGACCCCCAAATAAAGTACCCCCCCCCATTTTCGAAAACTCTCCCAAATTGTGACAAATAACGACGACTTGGGCTTGAGGGTCTCCCGAAACCTAAACGCCTAAACGCTAAAACCGCAAGACTTTCACAAACGCTTTGCCCCTAAACCCAAAGCCCGGAACTCGAAAACCTTATAACCCCTTAAGTTCTAAACTTTTAGACCTCTAAACTCCGAACCCTAAACTCTAACCTCAACCCCCCTAAACCCCTAAACCCCAAACCCTAAATCCTAAAGCCCCGACAAAGGCCAAGGTGCCATGATGCGGTCCGCAATAAAGTAGAGCCGACCGGTCGACTGCTTCAGCCAGTTAGACCTTGGGCTTTGGGTCTAGTTTCCACTTTGGTTTCGGGTTTAGGGTTTAGGGGATAAGGTACTTAAGTTGTAGAGTTTTGGGTTTAGTTTCCATTTTGGTTTAAGGTTTAGGGTTAAGGATTTGAATTTCGTTTTGTGGTTTGGGGTTTATGCGTTTAGGGTTTCGTCGGGCTTGCGGGCTTAGGCTTAGGGAAGTTTAGGAGTTTGGGACTCAGGAGTTTAGGGGTTTCAGGGTTTGGGGTTTGAGGGTTTAGGGTTTAAGGTTTAGGGTTTAGGGTTTAGGGTTCAGCAGCTCCGGATCGAGCAGTTCTAAAGTAGAGTTGTATTTACGGTTTAGAAATAACACCCACCCACCCTTAGAATCCCATAACATAAGCCATATAAAGTCTTTCATCATCATTCAGAGAGTTCTACCTGCAACCTAGCCTGTCACACTTTAATGTCGCCTTCCCACACCACTAGGAAAATACAACAGTTCATATTGCTCCCACAGCTGATTTATTTTTTTAAGGTTGTCGAGCTTAGACTTACCTTAGATTCCTCCAACCAACTATATAGGTGTGTTGTATATGTTGCAAGCTATTTATTCATAGTTAGTTGCCAGTCTAACAAGCAAGCTAAACCCTAAATCCAGTCGGTGTGCGGCAGGACCTAAACCTCACAGTTATGAAATTGCCAATTAACTACTCTGGAAACATTTGCGGCTGTAGCTAAACCCTAAATTTCCTATGGTGTCAACACCGTTGCTTGCTTGTTTTAAGTAAAGCAAGTAAAAAGGCACAGCGTTGCAAGAACTTAAGCAAAAGAGCTTTAAGATAGAGACAAAGAAAAGCAACACTCTTTTCGGGGGTCCAGGGGGTGTCCCCATGGCGCCCGCCCAGCTCAGACCAGCCCGGCCCAGCCCAGGCTGCCTGGCTCCCGTCTGCCTGCCCTTTGCTGGCTGGCTGCCAAAAAGTTTAAAAGAAAAGAAGACTCTTTTCGGGGTACCAGGGGGTGTCCCCCTGGCGCGGTGGTCTGGGGGCAGCGCCCCCCAGGATCACGGTGGTGAATATTTACGATTTCTAAAGAATTTCATGAAAATTCCCGAAGAGTAACCTTTGAAGTGGCCTTAAACGACGACGGGTGACCTGAAACGACGAAGGGTGACCTTAAACGACGAAGGGTGACCTTAAACGACGACGGGTGACCTTAAACGACGAAGGGTGACCTTAAACGACGAAGGGTGACCTTAAACGACGAAGGGTGACCTTAAACGACGACGGGTGACCTTAAACGACGAAGGGTGACCTTAAACGACGAAGGGTGACCTTAAACGACGAAGGGTGACCTTAAACGACGAAGGGTGACCTTAAACGACGAAGGGTGACCTTAAACGACGACGGGTGACCTTAAACGACGAAGGGTGACCTTAAACGACGAAGGGTGACCTTAAACGACGAAGGGTGACCTTAAACGACGACGGGTGACCTTAAACGACGAAGGGTGACCTTAAACGACGAAGGGTGACCTTAAACGACGAGCACCTTCGTCGTTTAAGGTCAAACCTTCGTCGTTTAAGGTCAATCTTTCGTCGTTTAAGGTCAAAAACCCGGGGGTGACCTTAAACGACGAAGGTTTGACCTTAAACGACGAAAGTTTGACCTTAAACGACGAAGGCATTAGGGTTTAAATTATCATATGAAAGAGAGGTCTAGGGTTTGGGGTTTAGGGTTTAGGGTTTAGGGCTTCGGTATGGGGTTGAAGGATTTATCGGGGCTTTACGAGGGAGTCCTCATAACAAGCAGCCGACTGTGGCGGCTTGATATTGGGACACCTTCTTCACGACAACTCCCATGCGGTGTGTAGGATGTAAAGTTTCGAAGGTGTGGTTTTGTAGTTTGTGCCCGAAGACGACTTTCACACACATAGCGTCAATGGTTAAACCGAACACTACCCTAGAAGCCTTCAGAGTCAAAATAGGGTTGTTGGTACTATAGAAGAAAGTAACTATATTCCATAAACCCTACACCCTAAACTCTCAAGAATCACATTTTTCTTACGAATATTATTACTACTACTACTACTGCTACTACTACTACTACTACTACTACTACTACTACTACTGCTACTACTACTACTTTACTACTACTACTACTACTACTACTACTACTACCACCACTACTACTACTACTACTACTACTACTACTACTACTACTACTACTACTACTACTACTACTACTACTACTACTACTACTACTACTACTACTACTACTACTACTACTACTACTACTACTATTATCATATTACAAATATTGCTATATTATTACTACGGTTATTATTTCAGGCTTCCATGGCATCTTTATTGGCGAATTTCCTACCCCACGCGTCTCAAGGGCTTCCCCGGGGTTCCCAGTTCGTGGTCGCGGGTGAGCCACAGTGGTATCGAAGGCTTTCGGTTTTGGGTTTAGGGCTTCAGGGTTTAGGATCTCGGAATTTAAGGATTTGGGGGTTTCCGAAAATAGTGGCCTTCAATAGTAGGATCCTTATTATAAGGACCCCAAAATAAGGTACCCCGAGTTTTGGGAAACTCCCATTTAGGGCCACGGGTTTCAGACCTCTTCCTGGCTGTTTGAATGATGGTGCCAACTCCGGTTCTTGCTGCTCTGCCTAAACTTACCGTTGGTTAGTAGGGAACGGAGGAATGGGATACAATTATAACTACTACCATCCTTCCATTCCCTACTAACCAGCGGTAAGTAAACCCTGATCCCTAAATCCGAATCCCTTGACCCTAACAGTCTTGCCAGTACGTCCGAACCCAGACCTCGGGAGGATCCAAAAAGTAGATCCCTTAATGGGGGTTCCTATAAAATGCCCTTAGTAGTATAGAGCCCCAAATTAGGGGATCTACTTTCTAGATCCTCCCGAGGGTCTGGGAAGGCCCTTGAACCTCTCAACTCCTAAACCGGCACCAACCCCGAACAACACTCCTAAACTCTAGATTTCAGGCGATAGATCCTAACCCCAAGGCCCCAACCAAACCCTAAACCCCTAAACTCCACAAACTCCCCCTACACCAAATCCGACGGCCCTTGAACCCCAAAGCCCGAACAGCTCCCACCCAGAGGCTCGAAAAATGTAGGAACCTGATAAAGAAGAAAACCTTGGGCCGTTATCCGGGCTCCTTGTATGGATCCTACCTAGGATACCCAGTAACCTAAGAATAAAAAGGCCTCTCTTTTCGGTATTGGGTACCTTTATAAGGAACCTAGGACTACAAAAAGGGAATAAGGGTACTACGGGCATCCTAGCTACTAGTTGGGGAGTATAGGGCCAGGGTTTCTTAATCAGGTTCCTACATTATCCCTGAATGAAGGTATATACCTAAAAACATAGTAGGATCCCTATCATGATTTAAGGAATATTCCTTAATTAAGGGATACTAGAATCTAAACGGTTTAGGGTTTTGGGATTTAGGGTTTAGGGGTTGAGGGTGTGGGGTCTTGGGATGTAGGGTTCAGGGTTTATACCAAACCCAATCAAGCTCCCGTGAACTACTACAGAGGTTTAGGGTTTAGGGGAGCCCCATGGAGGCCCCGCGATGGTTGTTTGAGGTAGTGGAGGGGCCTTACTAACTAGAATAGGGTTTTGGGGTACATTATACCACAAGCATATCAAGGAACCCCCAATAGTCTTGGTCATTATACTGGGCGTTGAAGTAACCAGGGTGAAAATGTATAGACTTCTATTTCAAATCCCCTTAAGTAACAGGTCCCCCAAAAGTATTAACGTAGGGTATCCGAGGCCCAGTCTGATTGTAGGGTACTATATCACACGGTTTAGGGTTTAGGGTATAGGGTTTAGGGTTTAGGGAGCTACCATGATTTAAGGTATATTCCTTAGCTGAGTGATGTTGGATATTGCCCGAAAGCCTTACGCAGATTCCCCCGCAGTCCCACAACCTTGCAAAATGATGTCCGCCAAGAACCCTCTATCATAGAGCCCTTGTAGCAACCCTTCTAGAACCTTTCAACTTAACCTCGAACCCTGAACCCTCATTACAAGGGCCCCTATGTTGCTGCTGCAGCAGCCCAGCAGGGGAGGCCGCAAAAAACTTGGAGAACACGCCTTTCCGAAACTGGTCCCGAGCCTCCTGCAAGAAGGGTTGGGGTCTCTGGGTTTGGGGCTCAGGGCTCAAAATGAGGGCATACATAGGTACCCATACTTGCTCAACTAAGGTACTTATACACCTTACCTACTCAGTCCCGTGATCCTGCAAAATAGGCATTCTTCACGGCTCAGGATCTTCAAATCTGAGCCCTAAACCGGGGATTTCAAGTTTGAGTCCTTTTGGGGCATCGTGAAGGGATGAGGGCGGGTATCCTTGTCCTTCTGAGACAAGCCAATGAAGTCTCGAATGCGAAGTTCGTTAGTATCATCATCTTTGCTGCTAGCCTATGGCCTATGGGCAGTTCTCTAACTTGGGATCCCTTTTCACCCTAGAAAGCCCTAATTTGTAGAACTCTCCCTGCATTTGGCGCCATGGAGGCGAAGAGGAGGCTTCAGCAGCCGGACTGGAAACCGTACATCATATGCGGGTTTAGAGTCAAAGAGAAACGGGTTCGTGGAGAAATTCTGCCGATCTTTGCAAGGACAAAAACAGTGGTAGTTTTGTAAATTAGGGCTTTTTAGGGTGAAAAGGGAGCCTAAGTTACTGCGCTGTCCCGGGCTAGCATCTCGGGGCCGCCCTGCCGCCACGTCACAAACAGGCGCCCGAGAAAAGCCCGTGACCCTAGGGTTCCTTGAAAGGGATCTATAGAGTTTAGGGTTTAGGGGATTGAAACACCCCAACTTCAGAGGCAGTGCTTTATGCTCGTTCATGAAACTGACCGCCGCCTTGGGAATGTCGGCATGGACCAGTCTGGGCAGCAGTGCCCTCGGATCCGCTTTTGGCGTGGGTTCTTCCAGACCCTCGGACTGGCGGACCCTCGACGAGCGGCGTCTGGGCGAGGCTTGCTCCGGAGTACATGGCCACCATGGCCTCATGTAAGACTTCTGTAAGGCTTCCGCAGAAAAATCAGGCCAAGGGCCGCAAGGAAGGTCTTCAGGAAGACCATCGTTCAGCTATGTTTGGAAACCTCCGCGGCCACTAGAAGATCCAGAAACTCCAATATCCCTAAATTAAGCAATATTCCTTAAATCATATTAGGGATCCTACTATAATTTAAGGTATATTCCTTAATTAAGGGATATTGGAGTCTCTGGGGACTCGTCCACCGTCATTTCTCTGGAAAAAGCCGACACCGAGTCTGTCGAATCTATATGTTCCATGCAAACCCTAGAACAAGGAGGCGGGAATTTCCGAAAATTAGGGGTACCGTATTGTGGGGTCCTTATTATCATAAGGATCCTACAATTAAGGGTACTATATTGGGGTCCCTATTTTCGGAAACTCCCAGGTATGACTGACTGTTCCGAGTTCGGACTCCCATGTCTTGCCGCAGACTCCGGGGCGACTTCATGCCCGTCAAGGAAGCCACTTACGCGTTGCACGGTTTGGTGCTCTTTATGCTATAACTCTACTTATAACCTACTTACTAAGTCCCCTGCCCTTCCAAGTAGAAGTTGTAGCCTTGTGAGTGTAAGGGTTCAAGCTCGCAGCTTTGGAACAAAACTGGGCTCTTGTTAAAGGATTTGATTTAAAGTTACCATAACAAGGAAACCACATGTATTATAGATCCCCAGTATGCTAACTTTAGTTAAACCCCTTAGCCGCAGCCCTTAAAGGAACCCTTATAGATCCCTATTATGGTAACTCAAATTAATCCCCCTAGCAAGAACCCAGTAAACCGTAAACCTATCGTCACGTCCTCCGAGAGGTCGAGGATCATGTTCCTGGAAGAGGAGGTTTGGAGCTATGGTTTAGAAATGGTTGGGATAGTATTAATTACGATAGTTGCTATTCCTTCTTGGGCTTATATAAGTGCCCAAAACGGTAAAATGATAATTGTCAATTCCTGCTTGGACTCAAGTACAACCAAACATGTAAAATGCAAAAAGTCTATTCCTTCCTGGGCTGCAGTACCCAGAAAATGTGAAATGTTTTGCAACTATGACACAGAGGAGGAAACTTTTCAGGATGCGGGGCTTTGGCACTGACGATTTCATCAACCTTACGCTACCAAACAATTTCTACACCCCAGCCTCTCACCGAATGAAACAAACGATCCGGTATAAAGAAATCCCAATCTCAAAACCATATAAACTCATCACCCCGAAACCCAACCCACATCCAGGGGGCCCAGACTCTATATCCAATTCGGTAAAACCCCATAAACTGCAAACTCAAATTTCGGCCCTCAACCCCGAAGAAACCCTAAACCGTGAACTCTGAACCTTAAACCCTCTTGCATTATGTAGGGGCTTCTATCATGGAATGAAAGTGTTGGGATTCAGTTTAGTCTCATTGTAACACGGACTGAACCTTACGCCCAAGCCCCAATCCCTAAACAGGGTGCCTTGATCAGGTTCATAGATTATGGCTTTACGAAGGATCGGGTATTGAGAAAAACGTGAAAAGATTGGGAACATAATAGGAAAATAAGAGAAAAATATGAAAATATTAGGAAAATAAGAGAAACATAGGATATTAGGAAGGCGCCCCTTGCCGGAACTAGGGTTTTCGAGTTAAGGGTCCGTCACGTATGCTTTTCCCAAGCCCGCGCAACAACGCAGACCACTGTGAACGGTGTGATTCTCAATCGAAGCAACCCAGTCATCAGCCATCATAGAACAAAACCTTGAACTTGCCCTAACCCTAACCCGTAAGCTTTGCTTTATCAACACCCTCGGTCATGAACACCGCAGGTGAAGCTTCGGAAACGCATGTGCGTGGGTATGCATGTCTGCAGGTATGTATGCATGCAAACATGTATGCATGCGTATATGTATGTATCTACATACACATACATACATATATATATATATATATGTATAAGCATGCGCACCTATAAGTACATGTACATAAATAAGCATGTTTATGTCTGTGTGTGTGTGTGGATTTGTACGTGCGTGTGTCTGCATCTGCAGGTTCACATATGTGCACTTATCTAGATTTGAACGCATGTATGCAAGCGTCCATGCCTGCGTATGTGTGCGAATGTAAGGGCCTGTATATAAGCATGTATGCATGCATGTTTACATGCATGTCTGCATGTCTGCATGCATACATGTATGCATGCATGCATGCATGCATGCATGCATGGATGGATGGATGGATGGATGGACGGATGGACGGACGGATGGATGGATGGATGGATGGAGGAATCCTTACATGCAAATGTGCGCAACTAAAGATGTCTATGGGCTTGTCTATGTCTGCGAGGACGTCTGCACGCACGTCCACATCTAGACCGCATTTACGTCTATGTCGTTGACTGTCTGCGTGTGTGTGTGGGTGTGTGTGTGTGTGTGTGTGGGTGGGTGTGCGTGTGTGTGCGTGTGTGTGTGTGTGTGTGCGTGTGCGTGTGCGTGTGCGTGTGCGCGTGTGCGGGTGTGCGGGTGTGCGGGTGTGCGTGTGCGCGTGTGCGCGTGTGCGCGTGTGCGCGTGTGCGCGTGTGCGCGTGTGCGCGTGTGCGCGTGTGCGCGTGTGCGCGGTGTGCGGTGTGCGGTGTGCGGTGTGCGGTGTGCGGTGTGCGGTGTGCGGTGTGCGGTGTGCGGTGTGCGGTGTGCGGTGTGCGGTGTGCGGTGTGCGGTGTGCGGTGTGCGTTGCGGTGCGTTGCGGTGTGCGGTGTGCGGTGTGCGTGTGCGGTGCGGTGTGCGGTGTGCGTGTGCGTGTGTGCGTGTGTGCGTGTGTGCGTGTGCGGTGTGCGGTGTGCGGTGCGGGTGCGGGTGTGCGTGCCGTGCGTGTGTGCGTGTGCGGTGCGTGCGTGCGCGTGCGTGCGTGCGTGCGTGCGTGCGTGCGTGCGTGCGTGCGTGCGTGCGTGCGTGCGTGCGTGCGTGGGTGGGTGCGTGGGTGGGTGCGTGGGTGGGTGGGTGGGTGGGTGGGTGGGTGGGTGGGTGGGTGGGTGGGTGGGTGGGTGGGTGGGTGGTGTGGGTGTGTGGGTGTGTGTGGTGTGTGTGTGTGTGTGTGTGTGTGTGTGTGTGTGTGTGTGTGTGTGTGTGTGTGTGTGTGTGTGTGTGTGTGTGTGTGTGTGTGTGTGTGTGTGTGTGTGTGTGTGTGTGTGTGTGTGTGTGTGTGTGTGTGTGTGTGTGTGTGTGTGTGTGTGTGTGTGTGTGTGTGTGTGTGTGTGTGTGTGTGTGTGTGTGTGTGTCTGTGTGTGTGCCTGTGTGTGTGTGTGCGCATATGTCCGTGCATGTGTGCATGTGCATACGGTATGCATAGGGGAATGTACTGTGCACATGTCTGCATGTGTGTGTGTGTGTATTTATGTACACATACATCCCTGTATCATGTACATGCATGTATATAGGTATGTACGTTTACACAAACATGAATTTACACACATACGCACCTATGCGAGTAACACTTGCCACGGCGAGGTGCCGAATAGCTTTCTCGTATGTCGACGGCAGGCCGAACATAGCCTGAAGATGCTGGCCAAAAATGAAAGCCGCAGCACAACAGTTGGCGGGCTTCCTGTTGGGTTTGGGGACTCAATCAAAGCCATGACATAATACAGTTCCAATAAGCTACGGCTTCGACTTGCAAAAGAGACCCTCACAGCTTTCACCGGTGTCGGAAGGAGTCATAGGGAACCGAACACTATTTATAACAAATTGTTCTAGTCCGTGATTTAGAAACCACGGTTGGGGTAGAATTGAAACTTCAGACTTTTATGCTTCTTGGTTTAAGTACCCATAAAGGTGTAAAATGTTACCCGACCGTGACAAAGTTTTTGCCTGGGGGGACTGCAGGCTTGCTTGGTTCTGTTTTCTAGTACATGAAAAATCTACAACACCCCATAACACCACATAAAACCCAGGAAGCCCCATCTAAAAACCCAAAAAGATTTAGGGGAGCTGGGGCCGTGGGACGGGCAACCTGGGGCAGAATCTTCCAGAACATGTTGCGATTTGGAGGTTTAGGGTTTACTTGGAAGGGCAGGGGACTTAGTAAGTAGGTTATAAGTAGGGTTATAATTGGGGTAACTCCATTTAGGGTACGTATAACTCTACTTTTCACCTACTTACTAAGTCCCCTGCCCTCGAAGTAGACCCTAAACCCTAAACCCCATAGACCCCGTTAAGGAACCCTATAGATCCCTTTAAGGAGCCCTTTAAGAGCCCTTCAGGGTTTTGGGTTGAGCAGGATTCAGGCCAATGGTTTCCCAGACCCCGGGAGGATCCAAAAAGTAGCTCCCTTAATGGGGGTTCCTATAAGGGTTCCTTTAAGGGGCCCTTTAAGGGCCTTAATGGGGGTTCCTATAAGGGTTCCTTTAAGGGGCCCTTTAAGGGATCTATAGGGTTTTAGGGCTTAGGGGAGGGATTCTAAAAGTAGATCCCTTAATGGGGGTTCCTCTAAAGTACCCTTAGTAGCATAGGGCCCCAAATTAGGGGATCTACTTGCTAGATCCTCCAAAAGGGGGTCTGGGTTGGGGTTTCGGGGCTTAAGGGTTGAAGACCGGGTGAAGGACTTTCGGCGTTCGCAAGACCTGCTTTCCGGAAGAAGGGTGGGTCATAGGGTGCCCTCCAAAAGTCGCTAGACCCCAAGGCATTTACGGTATGAGTCATGTACCTACAGGTGCAAGCAGCCTGTAAACATCGTGTGGAACAGGCGAGTGTGCATTTTACGGAACCATAAAAATGAATCAACAAAATCTCTACATGTATATATATATATACACATACATACGTACATACATACACACACATGTTATTGTCGATGTATTCTGTCGTTTCACGTAGCAACAACTTGATTTAGAGATCTTTATTGAGGTATTTATGGGGCTCGTACGGAATATGCCTTGCAGTAGAATGAGCTTGTAGTTGTGATTTGGGGGGGTGACCCTCAATGTCGGAATGTACGATCATGAACGCACACAGAGAAATACTGATATATGAGCATAGTAGATGCGGTGTTATAGTATACTGTATTGTATTATGTTATGTTTTGTTTTTTATGTTCTACTATATGATACGGAGTTATGCTGAGTTGCATTATGTGATACGATATGACATGATATGATAAGGTGTGATACCATAACACATGATATGAGGCGTTATTATATGATATTTATGATACTCTTCGAGATTGTAAGATATTATTACACTATATCATGTTATGCTATATTGAGATGTGAGAGACAGAGGGCCTTCAACATCCGCTCCACATTATCCCACAGCCAGTTCCATGCCACCTCATGGTCCATGTCCTGAGGTTTGACAGGATTCTACACAGGCCTCGACTTGCAAGGTTTAGGGCTTAAACTAAAAGCCAGAAAGTTGGAATATGGTTATCCTAAACCCTTTGTGGTAAATTATAAGGTATCCTACCCTGAAACCATATTCCAACTTTTTGGAGTTCCCTTTAGGGATGTCCTGAGGCTTAGTAGGATTGTACTTAGACAGGGATCTACTTAAAAGGGCTTTTTTGGTCTGGGCGTGGGGATGTTCTGGTTCAACCCAGTAACCTAAGAATAAAAAGGCCTCTCTTTTTGGTATTGGGTAACTTTATAAGGAACCTAGGACTACAAAAAAGGAATAAGGGTACTACTGGGCATCCTAGTTCGAGGGAATCTACATGGGTTTGGAAGCGTGGGCGTTGTTGGTTCTGGCAGGTTTACGGTTCCCAGAGACTCCAATATCCCTTAATTAAGGAATTCTCCGTAAATCATAAATAGGGATCCAATTAATATACCTTAAATTATAGTAGGATCCCTAATATGATTTAAGGAATATTCCTTAATTAAGGGGCATTGCAGTCTCTGGGTTTGGGGTTTGGGACTTTTCTAGGGTGCGGAGATGACCTACCCAGAGATTGCAACAACCCTTACTTGAGGAATATCCCATACATTACGGTGGGATTCTTCTTGTTGAAAGAAAAGGTACACTACTCAAGTAAAGGGCTGTGGAATCTGCGGGTATGCGCCAGAATGTACATGAAGCATTAGTGTACTGATTACTAGTCTAACACTGCAGCATCAAAACGTGGGGCCGGGATGCAAACACCGGTATAGAGGTATGAAAAAGTAGTGATACTAGACCCAAGACTAACCTAGGAATAAAAAGGGTGCCCTTGTTGGTTTGAAGGGTAAGGGGAACCTGAACCCAAAAAAGTGGAATAAGGGCCTACACCAGGTCCTAGGATAAGCCTAAACCCTAAACCCTAGAGGTATAATAATAGCACCTGAGAGTCCCCGAATAGCTGCACTAGAAGGTACCCATGTGTGATCTCGAAAAGTCCCAAGCACCTAAAGTCAGAAAACTGCGGCAAAGCATTTCTGGGCTTTGAAGTAACCAGGGAGAAAAAAGTATAGACTTTTGTTCATAATTGGCTCCCTTTAAGTACCAGGTCCCACAAAAGTATTAAAGTATGGTACTCCAAAGCCCGGATTTGGGAGTTTCCCAAAATAAGGAACCCGAATATAGTACCCTAAATAGTAGGATCCTTATTATAAGGACCCCCAAATAAGGTACACCTAATTTTCGGAAACTCTAAAACCCTAAACCCTAAATCCTGTATAGAACCCTTATAGGATCCCTTTAAGGAACCCTTAAAGGATCCCTTTAAAGGCACCCCTAATTTTCGGAAACTCCCATTTAGGGCTGACAGGTTCAAGGCTTGGCGTGCATGCAGAGGAATGGGCGCGAACAAGCCCAAATGGGAGTTTTCCGAAAACAGGGGACCCTAATATGGTACTCTAAATAGTAAGATCCTTATCATAAACCCTAAACCCTAAACCCTAAACCGCCCCAAGATAAGGTACCCCTAATTTTCGGAAACTCCCAAATCGTGCTGGATCCTTATGGCGTTGCAGCCCGAAACCGGATCCGGTTTAGGGTTTAGGGCGTTTAGGGTTTAGGGTTTAGGGTTAAAACCCTGGCGGACACCTGATTAAGGCTAAATCCGAAACCCTAAACTCGTATCACTCGAAACTTGATGCGCTGGCCACGCGGCCCACTCCGCTGGCAGGACCGACCGCAAGGAGGAGAGCATCACTGCCTTTCAGTTCTATAAAGTCTGAGGTCTTAACGCCTGTTTGGTTTTTTTTACAGGTGCAGTGGCCTTTCGCTCGCAGGGTTTAGGGCTTCGGGTTTTCAGTGCCTTTGGGTTCTACAACGTTAGAGGTATTAGAGCTTAGGAATTATAGCTTCGGGGGTTTAGGTGCTTGGAGGGCTCATGTTCGGGGTCCTGTAAACTTTAGGGTTTAGGGTTTAGGGTGACGGGCTTAGGGTTTGGGGTTTAGGGTTTTAAAAGTAAGAGGGCTGTTGAGCTTCCCTGAATCTACCTGCGTCCTACCTTTTTTGCAGGTTTTTCTCATAAGCCCTAATGGAGACCTCAGAGGGACCCTACTTCAAGAAGGTTTTGTTAGTTCAAGGTTGGGGGGTAGGGGTTTAGGATTCAGGGTTTCGGGGTTTAGATGCTTGAAGGGTTTTGAATTCAGAGTTTCGACGTTTGTAGTAATAAGGCTTCGTTGGATACAACTTAGGAATATTGCTTTTTCAGGTTAGGGTGTTAGGGTTTAGAAATGATGGAGTTGGCGGTTCTCGGTTTGTGTTGCTGCGCCTGCATGCGGTTCAGGGTTTGGGGTTTAGGCATCAGGGCTGTCGATGCTGCTGCTGCCGCAGCGGTCAACGCCCACCCGTGTGCCGAATGTAGACGTCTGAAGAATTGCCAACAGTATCTATCCCCTTACGGGGCCTCTAGACCTAGAGCACGATATACCCCCAAAACCCTGTTCCCCAAGAACTCTCTCTGATAACCCGACCGAAATCCGAATAGTTAAAACCCCGCATAACCCTGCGAAACCCCATCCCCACGGCAGGGTTTCGAGGCTTTCTTGCTTGAGGTTTGGGTGGTGAAAAGAACCTGCCATCCGAGCTCGGGCTGGCGAGGGCCGGCTGCAAGCCCTCAACGGAACCCATAAAGCCCAGTACCCGTCAATTCAGGAATACACTTCAAGATCATAACAAGGAGCCCCCTATACTTTATGGGATACAGGGTATATTCCTCACTCAGAAGATTTGGAGATTCTGGAAGGAAACTCCATGAACACCTTCATAGGAACCCTTAAGGAACAGTCTCACAAAACGAAAAGCGAGAAACCGACGACTCAGTTTAAGGAGAGCTCAACAGCTTAGGTGTAAGATGCCCAACACTCATACCCCAAAGCCTGACAGATCCAAGTTTCGGGAGTTCGGAAACCCTTAGCCTAACCCTAAAAACCTTAAAGCCTGCACCCAAATCATAGCTCGCCTAGTCCCTAAACCCTAAACCCTAACTGTTACAATTGTTCTAGTCAGTAAAATCACTACTAGGATACCCAGTAACCTAAGAATGAAAAGGCCTCTCTTTTTGGTATTGGGTAACTTTATAAGGAACCTAGGACTACAAAAAGGGAATAAGGGTACTACTGGGCATCCTAGGTGGTTTAGGATTTAGGGTTTAGGGTTTTGACTTACCAAAACCCGAGCTCCTTTCACCCAGACGCCCGAGCCCCGAATGTCCCCAGGGCCTTGAATTCGTAGAGGTTGATCGTGCCCTCACGGGGAGAGAGGGCTTTCACAGGGGCCAGAATGGGCGTAGGGTTTCGGGTGGAGGAACAATAAACTCAGGTTTTCGCTGGGTCTTGTGCTACAATAAACCATGCCCTAACCTACCAAAGCCTACTATACTTTTCATATTGCGGTTGTATCAATCCTGCACTACCTTAGTGACCCTAGACTATCGGAATTATGGTATATTCCTTTGTTATGGGTAATGCAGGATTTAGATCATCGACCGTAGGATTCACAGTAAAACCTACAGAAAAGTCGGCGATGGTTTAGGGTTCAGGGTTCAGGGTTTAGGGTTTAGGGTTTAGGGGTTTGGGGGTTTAGGGTTTAGGAGTTTAAGGGTTTAGGGTTTTGCAAGGTAAAACCTACAGAAAAAGTCGGCGATAGTTGTTTGAGGTACCCTGAAACTGTGGGACCGGTCTGAGGGAAGGTTTCACGCAAGGTAGGATCTAGGGTACTGAAGGGTTTAGAGGTTTTAAGGGTTTAAGGGTTTAAGAGTTTAGGGCTTAAGGGTTTAGGGTATGTAAGGGTTTAGAGGTTTAAGGATTAAGGGTTTAAGCTTAAGGGGTTAAGGGTTAAAGGGTTTAGGATCTAGGGCTTCAGCGTCTAAGGGTTTGGGGTTGAAGGTCTAGTTAGGATTTAAGTTTCAGGGCTTAGCGCTTAGGGGATTTAGCATTTATGGCTTAGGAATCTAGGGTTTAGGGGCTAGAGGTTTAGGAGTTTGGCTTCCGGTTTCCGCCTCAGGATCAGCTGAGGAGGATCGCCGCAGAGTTACGGGTTGAGGCTTACGTGGTGTTTGGCCTTAGGTATGTCCTGTAACCTACCAGAACCTACCTTGTTATAGGGTTCCCATGAAATCTCTACGGTGGGTTGGCTCTGTCAAGGGGCACTTGGGGGGTCTAGCCTCAACCCTAGATCCTGCTCCACAGACCGAAAAGCCGAGAATAGAGTTCTCAAAAATCCAAACGATGATCTTCAAGCGATGCTTCTGCAGCGATTTCGAAGTTGTTGGCTCAACCTTGTTGGAAGAACCAAGTCTGAAGACCTTGCGCTGCTTCTGCCGCAAACCGGCCCAGTGAAACATCTTCAAGCGATGCAGGCTGGTAATCGGTCCCCCAACAAGCACGTAAGCACAAACAAGGATTGGGATATCCCATGTTAGCCCCCTTGAAATAACCCCAATAAGGTCGGGATATTCGTACAAAACGCTTATGCTTATTCGTCTGGTTCCTAGTAGGCAATGGGGGAATGGGTCATGGGGACTACTATTGGGGAGCATATCGGGACTACTGTAGGAATCCCTTCCCCACTAAGCACCAGGGAGTTTGTTTTACCCCTCTTTTTCCGTCTGCTATCTTTAGCTCAGGAAGGCCAGGTTGGCTGAAGGGTGGGTTTAGGGTTTACGGCTTAGTGGTCTTCTTTTAAAGCACCAGGCAGGTACGTCCTCTTTGGGGTCCCTAAAGTACGGTTCTGGGCTGCGGTGCTTCGGAGGCATTGGCTTTCAGATTACGCCTGGTGGGTTTTAGGACAGGGGCGGTTTGGGGTTTCAGGGTTTCAGGGTTTAGGGGTTTGGGGTTTGGGGTTTTGGGGGTTTCTGGGTTTAGGGGTTTGGGGTTTCTGGGTTTAAAGGTTTAAGGTTTTGGGTTGAAGGACCTTAGGCTCTTGGTGATTCAGGGTCTCGGAGCCTGACAGTGGGGTTTAGGGCTTATGTAGGGTTTAGGGTTTAATTAGGGTTTAGGGTTTGGGGTTTAGGGTTTGGGGTTCTTTTTGTTTGAGAGCTCTTTGTTTGGGTTTAATTAGGGTTTATGGTTTCGGGTTTAGGGTTTGGGGTTTTATGTTTTTCAGAGCTCTTTGTTTGGGTTTAATTAGGGTTTAGGGTTTGGGGTTTAGGGATTAGGGATTCGGGGTCTGGGGGTTCGGGGTCGAATTTTCTTAACCCTTGAGCAGGTTGTATTATAGGATCCTTAAGGGAGGGTGGTTCAAGGGGGGAGGGTATAAGGAATCCTTAAGTATTAAGGGGACTGTAAGGGAACCTTAGGGAGTACTAGGGAGAATTAGGGATCACGAGGCTATATACCCCCCTTGGACCCCCCTCCCTTAAGGATACTATAGTTGTAGGCCCGACCTTGTACTTCGCCAGCACCAAGGAACACACATCGCACTCTTCCTGCGGCGGTGTTTGATTCGAGGACCCTCAACCCTTTGCTCCGCCCCCCAAAACCTAAATCCCAACACCCTCAAACCCTAAACCCTAAAACCCTAAAACCTTCAAACCCCGAAGCCCTCAACCCTAAAAGCCGAAAGCCCCAAAACCCTAAAGCCCTAAACCCCACAACCCAATTGAGCAGACTTCGACCTCTCCCGTTCAAAAGCCCTAAACCCTAAACCCCGCAATACAAGGCCTCAATAATTAGAATAGGGTTTCCTTTAAAGGGATCTATAAGGGTACTATAAGGGGATTTAGGGATATAGGCGCCTTAATAATTTAACTAGAATAGGGTTTTGGGGCCCATTATACTATAGCTATAATAGGGAACCCCCCAAATAGTATAGGTAATTACCAAGGCCCCTATATTATGGGCAGGCTTCGCGCTTTGCCAATCGTGACCCCTGAATCCTTGAGCCTGTCGGGAGCCGAAACCTTTCGAAAAGCTGGATTGAAAAGGGCTTAGGGTTTTGGGGTTTAGGGTTTAGGGTTTAGGGTTTAGGGTTTACTTACCTTGGTTAGTAGGCATGTAGTAATAATGGTAATAATTGCACCCCGTTCCTCCATTCCCTGCTAACCAAAGGTAAGTTTAGGGTTGAGGGTTTGAGGGTTAAGGGTTCAGGGATCAGGGCTGAGGGTTGAGGGTTTAGGGTTTAGGGATTACGGTATAAGGGGATTATGGGGGCCCCCATCCTACGAGATTATATAGGGGGTATATTGAGAAAGTATTGCAAAAATACAAAAGGGTCTAAGGTGAAGGGTTTAGGGTTTAAAGTGTTAGAATCAAGTACCTATACAAGATGCCACGCGGATCTAGGGATGTCTAGGACGTAGGGTTTAGGATTTGCCGGTTGACGATTTAGGGCTTTGCTTCCTTATGGCTTGGAGGCTGCTGTGCAGAACTGAGACTGCATCCTTTGATTTACAGTGGCAGTTAGCCATTGCATTGCCTCCGACCTTCACTACACGTAGATGTAAAATGCCTACAGCTTGCCACTGATACATCTAGAAAACGTTCAATCGCAACAGGAAAAGTAATCATCGCTGTTGACATTCATGGTCGTTTTCGCCTACGGTAAGTCTTCCAAATTCGGTCACGCTGTAATACCAGCTCGAATCTCATACCCCAAATACTGAAAGAGCACCAGCACGACCACGGTGCCATGAAAGACCATAGCACCGGGAACCCATGAAGAAACTACCAAAGGCCCCAGGAGACCACCAACAGACCATCAAGATGTCTTACCCCAACTAGGATACCCAGTAACCTAAGAATAAAAAGGCCTCTCTTTTTGGTATTGGGAAACTTTATAAGGAACCTAGGACTACAAAAAGGGAATAAGGGTACTACTGGGCATCCTAGCCCAAGTACTGGCGGATTCAGGTTCACTGTCTGCTTTCTCCCAGGTACAAGCGAAACTCTGGACCAGGGCACTTATTTTTCTCTGATAGAAACCTTTGAGAACCCAGTTAACGCCCTGTAATGCTCATAAACCAGATCCCGGAAACCTAAAAACCCCCACCGCGAACACCCCAACGATTCTACGAACCCATTAAAGCTCATACAAAGCACCCCAAAACCCTTAGAACCCCCTGAAAAAATACTTAAAATCCCCTTAAACCACGGCAAATCCTGCACCCCCCCCCTCAACCAAGAATCCTGCAGTCTGTAGGTATTGGCCACATTGGTAGCCATGGCGTCCCAGTGGGTCAATACCAGCCGCATCCATTTGCCTTAGGTTGAAAGTTTCGGAATCTGGGGTCACGGTTAGGGTAAGGCTTTAGAGGTGAGTGTTGTGGGAATCACTGGGTTAATACCAGCCACATCCATTTGCCTTAGGTTGAAGGTCTAGGTTTAGGCGGTCAAGACTATGTTTTCGGCATTACGGCCCCTACAATTTTCGCGTTCCCCCCGCTCAGCATGCGCACAGCAGAACTCATGTTTTGGTTGTGAGCGATTCTTTGCTTCTTGGACACCGTGCGCCATAACCGCCGATGCTGAAGCTTAATTGAGCTAAGGAAGCACATCCCGGGTTCCGCGCGATAGGGGCATTAATCAATACCTATACTCTTTTGGGGATTCCTTCTTATGAGTATAGTATAACATGTACTAAACCCCCATTCTAATGATTAAGTCCCCCAAAAGTATAGAACCCAGCAGGTGATACGCTTTGAGGGTTTTTAGGGTGCAGGGGCGTGGATTTCGTTTCGACAAGCCCTCCCTTGTAGTAAATCCCAAAGGTTGGAAACCGGATTAAGCATAGTTAGTGCCTATAAGGATTGAGGCTATTGGCTTTCCAACTTTTAGGCTTCTACTACAGTTCGAAAACTGCCCATTGGAAGTACCGCTTTGGCAAATCCCCAACATCCGGATGCCCTGAAACCCAGAGCCCCTAGCCATAAAGCACCCCAAGACGGCCGTAAAGACTGAACCCTGAACCCCAAAGCTTCAAACCCTTAAACTCCTAATATAGAACCCTAAAGGAGCCCTGAAAGGAACCCCATGTCCCCCAAGAAAACCTGCAGTCAGAGGGCTGTTGGAATAACCCATCACCGCGGCATTGAAGAGGCACATCTCCGGGAAGGTGTCTGGCACCTTCACCAGACTCAGGTTTAGAGCTTGTGGGATTAGGGTTGAGGTTCAAAGTTTAGGGTTTCGGATTAAGTTTTTGAGGGTTTAAGTTTTTTCGTGTCTACGGTTTAGAGCTTGGGGTTGTGGGTTGAACATACCCTTAACCTCAAGCCCCTAAAGCCCAAGACACTCTAGACCCTGCAGACTAACAGAATCTTTGGATGCAAAATGGTTCCAATACACTTTGGCCTCACTGCGACGCTAAGCCCTAAACAAACCATACTATAATTGACCAGAACCTTGAACCCTAAGCCTGCGGACTAAGACAATAACCCCTGAAGAGAATGCGGAGACCTACTTATAAAGGCCCGACCTAGTAGGTCAGGTTATAAGTCAGGCTATAGCTAGGATAACCCCACTTATGCAACGTAGTACCCCAATTATGAAACTACTTACTACGTTTCCCTGGCCTGTAAGTACCCTCACAGGAGGCCCGAAAGGAACCCCAACAAAAACGACTCCCACCCTTAACCCTGAACCCTAAACCTTGTGCACCCTTAGAACCAACATACGAATAATGTGCGCTTTCAAGAATCCCTTGGAGTTGCAATAGAAGAAGATGAAACACTCAGAACGCTAAAGACACAACAAACCCTAAACCTTGTGCAACAATATCTTTAACAATGCCTGGAAGTTTTGGTTTTCTGAAAACCAAACAAAAGTTCCGAAAGAACCCACACCCAAAATCCTAAACCGCTAAACTCTAAGTCTAAACCCTATACCCCTAGACCCTGAACCCTGAGCAAAAGGAACCCTTAGAAAGAGCCAGAAACTCCGTTTTCCCTTAATTCTAGGAATATTGGTTATATCATATATGATTTAAGGATCCTACTAAAATTTCAGGTATATTCCTTGATTCAGGGATATTGGAGTCCCCTAAACCCTAAGCCCCATAGATCCCTTATGGATCCCTTAAAGGAACCCTGACGGATATTCATTAATCAAAGGATATTCTGGTTTCTGGGCTCGAGCCTTCACATCTCCGGCTTGGAATTCCGCGCCTGGGCTCCGACCGTGGCGACCGTTGCATGTGATTCATGGCTTCGGGCTTTAGGATTTAGGGTTCAGGGCTTGGCGCTTAAGGTTTAGGGTTTAGGGCTTGGGGTCTGGGGCTTGGGGCTTAGGGTTCAGCGTCTAGGGCTTAGAATTTATGGTTTAGGGTTTGGGGTGTAGGGGTTTAAACTACACCCCCCTTAAAACCATAATTCATAGGGAATGTTAGGGCTGTAGGGGTAGGGGGGGGTAGGGGGCCCGAATTAATGCCCCATAATAAGGACCTGATAAGGCCTATTTAAGGAAGTATAGTCCCCGACCGCCCCTTTAGAACTATCATCAAAATATTGGATTAAACATCCTCTTGGACTTTAGATTAGGAACAAAGACAAAACAAAACACTAAGGGAATTCGGATGCTAGGGATTAGGATTGGGGGAACCCTTGGGGATATAGACCCTCTCAATAAGGTCCTCTTTAAGAGGGCCCCCCTACCAGGGACATCCCAGCCGTCAAATCAGAATCAGCGTGCATGGCTTTGGGATTTAAGGGCTTAGGGTTCAGAGCTTCAGGGCTTTAGGACGTTAGGGTCCAGTGGTACTTTTGCTCGGTCGAAAATTCAATTAGAGCGCTTGCTTCTCCTAGTCCTAATCCCATAAACAACCGATTACAACCTTCTGATAACCGCAAAATCCTGTCATAGAGACCTAAACACTAATAACCGAGCCCCGAAGAACCCAAGAGTCACAAGGCCACGACAAGCAAACACACAAGATTTTTAAACAAGAGGCCCGGTCTTGTCCTCGCGGACAAATTCGAATACCGCCCGACTACACGAGGGTTTAGGGTTTAGGGTTTGGGGTTTAAAAGTATAGCTACCCTAATAATAACGCTGGTCATTAGGTCCGATGATCCATAGGATCACTCAACCCCAAACCCAAAACCCTAAACCCATAACCCCGGGCCTTAAAACCTCGAATGTGAGGGTTTTGACCTCGACACAATGCCTCCAGCCCTCGCTCTATCCCGGCCACACCCCCGTCTCCCTGATAGTCCCGATGTAGCCATAATGGATTATGTGTTGTACTATATACTATAACATTGGATCTCTTATTATACTTATATACGATTAACAACATTATCATATTCTATGTAAATATTAGACCTCCAAACCGTAGTCTGACCATATCGGGCCCTCCGCCGGAGTGCCTAGCTCCACCAGGTTGGGGTCAATCTCTTGAACCACCTCCTCCTCTTTCTGCTTCTTCTGCTGCATCTCCTGGGGCTGAAACCCAGCACGCCGGAGGATCTCAAAAGCAGATTTCCTACTTTGAAACAAGGGTACTCTACATAGGAACAATCTTCAGGGATTCATACCTTAAAAGCCTTGCAAATCCCTGCAAGGAACCCTTGCTTTCTTACAAAATCTGCTTCTTGTTGGATCCTCCCAGGGGTCTGGGGAAGCAAGCGCAAGAGCTTGCTGCTGGATCGCTCAAGACCTTCCCGGTATCAGGTCTATGTTGAACTATCAAAACCCACTTTTTTCGCAGGGTCCCTCTGACTTCTGCATGACCCAGACCCCCGGGAGGATCCAAAAAGTAGATCCCTTAATGGGGGTTCCTATAAAATGCCCTTAGTAGTATAGGGCCCCAAATTAGGGGATCTACTTTTTAGATCCTCCAAAACGGAGATGTAGGTCATGGTAGTCTAGGAAGCCAAGGGCATCGAAACCGTAAACCCGAAACACTTGTTGGATTTGGGTTTTGGGGGGAGTTCTGAAGACCCCAGGCGAAGCCCTACACTCGAAACCCTTGGTTTAGGGTTTATTGCTTAGGGTTTGGAGGGGGGGTGTGAGATCTGGGGATGTTAAAGTTCGCCAAACTCCAACGTGTGGCTCAAAAAGGGCGTTTAAGATTCAAAAGCCGAGGGTTCAGGGATTGAAGTTGAGGCTCCATGTTGGTTAAAATTTTGGGTTGAGGGAGTTTCCACAATGGTGAGACATAAGATTGGTTGTGCTGGCTTATATACGAGCTCAAATTCGTAAAAAAATCGCTTGCGGCCTTCTAACAGGCATGGATCTATATATCTATATATCTATATATATATATATATACTGAAGACGATGCTTACCTGACCATGACAACACAGTCTGGTGTTTTGTATGCCCAACACAGCTTTCGGGCTCAAACATCTCTGTTCACCCAACAAGGTACGCGAAGGCCCCAGATTTTTCGTAACGAAGCCAGAAGAAGGCCTAGATGTGGTGCCCAATGTATAAGAAATATAGAATTCTCCCAGGAGCCCCCAGAAGCTTAACACCCTAAACCCTAAACCCTAGGCCCTAAACCCTAAACCCTAAACCCTAAACCCTAAACCATGCAACCCTGGACCCGCAGGGAGAGTTCGGGGTTGGTGTTTAGGACTTAATGTTTCGTGCTGAGGGCATAGGCCCTGAGCCCGAAACCTCCACTACACCATAAACCCTAGAACCCTAAACCCTAAAACCCTAAACCCTAAAACCCTAAAACCCTAAAACCCTAAAAACCCTAAAAACCCTAAAACCCTCAACCCTGGGCTTTCCGGTTTAAGGCTTCAGGGTTTAGGGTTTAGGGCTTAGGATCCTAAGGCTCGGAGGCAACATCAAGCCCGGTAATCCTTGAGGTTAAGCCCAAAACCAAGCTTAAACCCAAACCACCAGCACGAATGACTGTCAGAATCAGCAAAAGACAAAGCTTAGGATTACAATTAGTATTGCAGATACTGTTTTGGTCCTCGTTCTGGTATTCGTATTCGTAGAGTCGTATTCGGAAATTTGGGGCCTCGCCTCACTTTCAGCAGACAAACACACTTCAGACATCCTCCCCACCACTCTTTCCTTGCCCTTCAGCCCTCTTTAATTCCTTCTTAAACCTTCTGTGAGGCAGAAGCCGTGTCGCTCCACAGGGTGGCAGGGGGGATGTGCCAACCCTGGACACGACACATGTCCTCCCCGAAGGACCTTAAACCAACTATAGCAACGCCCCGTTTTGCCCACTCTGCTTAGATGAATTATGGAACCCTGATGACAGACTTAACGGAACCATTAAGAAGCCCTTAAAGGAGCCCTATCCTTTGGCAGGCGTCCTGCAGTCTATTCTCGGCTGATGCCGTCATCGTTCCGATCGTTCCGCTTTGAAGCTCGGCAGGGTCGGGAAACTCTGCATCTTTGCCTCAGGCAGCCAGACTCAAACCCTAAACCCCCAAACCTAAACCCTAAAACCCTAAAACCCTAAAACCCTCAACCCTGGCTTTACAGTAGAAGCCAGAAAGTTGGAATATCATTATCGTAACCCCTTTAAGGTAAATTATAGGGGATCCTACCAGCAATCCATATTCCAACTTTCTGGAGTTCCCTTTAGGGTTTAAGGCTTGATGGTTTAGGGTTTAGGGCTTAGGACACTTAAAGGCTCCTTTAGGGTTTCCCTTAAGGGACCCCTACAAGGAACCCTTTAAGGGAGCCCTTTTCGTCTAGGCAGCTGAGAGACTCCACAAGCACCGCAATTCTGAAAGTTTAGGGTTTAGGGTTTAGGGTGAGATCCCATCAGAGTAGGAACCCTACCCAATACGAGGCAAAGACGGGAACTCCAAGAGTGGTGAAAGCACACCGCCCGGAACCCTCAGCCCTAAACCGTCCTTTCGTAAGAGTTTTGGGGGGTCGTTTGGGAGTTTTTTCGGTCGCTCGGCACGTGGTTTAGGGTTTAAGGGTTAGGATTTAGGGTTTAGGGCCTAGGGGTTTAGGGTTTAGGGTAGGGTTTAAGGTCAGGGTTGCTTACGGGTTTAGGGGTCTAGGACTCAGGGAAAGAAGTTTTGGGGCCCAAGCACTAGGCAAAGATGCGATTGCAAAGTACTCAGACGTCTATATTCGAGATGTATACCCTAAACCCTAAACCCCTAAACCCTAAACCCCTAAACCCTAAACCCCGAAACCCTAAACCCCGAAACCCTAAACCCCGAAACCCTAAACCCCGAAACCCTAAACCCCTAAACCCTAAACCCCTAAACCCTAAACCCCGAAACCCTAAACCCCTAAACCCTAAACCGCCTAAACCCCTAAACCCTAAACCCCTAAACCCTAAACCCCAAACCCTAAAGCCCGATTCTAGAGGGGCTCCATAGTCTCTTCTGATGCTAGGACACAGAGCAGCCCCCTAAACCCTCAAAAGCATAAAAACTGTACCACTGCATATTTGGAAGGTTCCAAGTGTCGCAGAATTCAGGTGCCTGAACAACTAGAAAGGTTCGGAAGAATATTCACGCAGAAACTTCACAACTCCTTAGTTTCGGAAGATTCCTTCAAGAGAAAAGGGTCCTCAATGTAAAGTAAGGTCTTTCCTTCACTAAAGAGTGGTGGAGTCTCTGAATATCACCATTGCCCTCAACCACCCAGAGACTCCAATATCCCCTAATGAAGGAATAGGCCTTAAACTATAGGAGGACCCCTAATATGGGTGGTTCTCAAAATTAGGGTCCCTTCTTGGGTCCCTATTATAATCCGGCACCTAATATTTAGGGTACCCAAAAAAGGACCATAATTTTGACAACCACCCATATGATTCAAGGAACATTCCTTGATTAAGGGATATAGAAGTCTCTGGGAACCCTGAACCCTGGATCTCCCTGAACCCAAGCCCCGACCAAACATCTTCCAAGTATCCGGATATGGGAGTTTCCGAAAATAAGGGACCTTAATATAGTACCCTTGATAGTAGGATCCTTATTATAAGGAGCCCAAAATAAGGTGCCCCTCATTTTCGGAAACTCCAATATCTGGATACTTGTGGCTTAAGGGCTCGAGGGACGCGGTAAGTGGGGTTATCATTGGGGTTAGAAGTGCCCTAAGTGGAGTTTATGTTAGTTCTGACCTTACTTATTAACCTTACTTAGTCATTCCCTCTCGGGCCGTTTAGTAGCAATGTAGAAAACCCGTAGACGTTAGGGTTCTGGGTTCAGGGTTTCGGGTCCGCGGTTTGAGCAAGCAGTCTGACACCCTAAAGCCGTACTAAAAGCCCCTAGCTCCGAACCCCCGAGCGTTAAACTCTAAAGCCCTAGACCTTGAAACCCCTAAACCCCGAAACCCTAAACCCTAAACCCCGAAACCCTAAACCTTTGAACCCTAAACCCCTAAACCCCTAAACCCTAAACCCCTAAACCCTAAACCTTAAACCCTAAACCCCTAAACCCCTAAACCCCTAAACCCCTAAACTCTAAACCTTAAACCCCAAGCCTCAAACCCTAACGCCCCAGCTCTAAACCTGAAGCGCTCCCAGAGGGGCTGTTGGCAATTCTCCAGCTTCGCTGGATCACCCTGACGAGGGAGAGCAGTGACAGGCGTTTCGGGTTCAGAGTTTAGGGTTTAGGGTTTTTTTTTAAATGCAGTGGCCCTTTCTTCGCTTGGACTCGTTCAGGGTTTAGGGTTTAGGGTTCAGGGTTCCGGGTTGCAAGGGTTTAGGGTTTAGAGCTGAGAGGTTCAGAGTTTTTACGGGTTCAGGGTTTAGGGTTTAAGGGCGGGCCCTTTTCCGACTGCGAACAGCTAGACTTCCTTTCCAGGGGGAAGCAGAGTTTGGGTTAAGCCCTATATGTTAAAGCACTTAATATACGGTTTAGGGTTTAGGGTTTAGGGGTCTGGGGGCCACTATACTACAATTGTAACAAGGAACCCCCAAAATAGTATAGAAAATTATTAAGGGCCCTAGATTATCTTTGTTGTTTCCAGGTTTCAACCCAGCAGAGGACCTGGAGCCTGGCCAACACTCAGGGCACTGCAGTCTCTCCGGATTACTTGGGTTCAGGGTTTAGGGTCTTCCTCGGGTCTTTTAGCTCTATCGGAGCTATATGGTGTTGTTGTAGGGCGCTTTTTATAGGGATGCATAGAGTTTTTAGCAAGCTTTGCGTACCCTGGCCGATCTAGGACATTCCTGTTGGGGCTACCTTGAAGAACCCTTGCACAAAACCCTGCACGCCTATGGAATCGCAGAACCGTCCCTAATTCCCTGGGAAGGTAAGCAGAAAACATCTGTCATGGATATCCTTGTACAAAGAAATCACAAAGAAGAACCGCCAAACCCCTATAGAACTCCACGATCGGCCCCTAAACCCTGGGAACCAAAACCCCCAAACCCTTTTAGCCTCCCTCCTCCTTGATTCAACTATCAGAACCCTTCAAGCTCGTGTCTGTGCGCGCCTGATACGACCCGCGAACTCGCGGGTCACGAAGATGAACGAACCCCCGATGTAGTTCAGCAGAGCCTCAATCACCGGATGCTTTGAACTCTTCAAGCCGCGGGGTGCGTGTACATAGGCTTTAGGGTTTAGGGTGCCGAGTTTTTTTTTAGCACCTTTTTCTGCCTGCCTATCTGTCTAGGTTGACGAAAGGCCGTGTTGGCAAGCCGGGTTTAGGGTTTAGGCTTTACCAAAAGTTATACCCACACAAGCACCCCCGATGCTGTAGTCAGCCTGCCCTCCCCAGACCCCCGGGAGGATCCAAAAAGTAGATCCATTAATGGGGGTTCCTTAAAGTACCCTTAGTAGTATAGAGCCCCAAATTAGGGGATCTACTTTCCCTTCTAGATCCCAAAACCCTAAACCCTAAATCCTAAAGGATCCCATAAAGGAGCCCTTCAAGGAACCCTACTAAGTCCCTCGAGAGCCCCAAATGTAGGGGATCTACTTTCTAGATCCTCCCGGGGGTCTGGGGACCCTGCTGAAGCAAAGGTCACTTTTTGAGGACCTCCTGGGTCTCTCTGAGGGCCACGGTTTAGGGTTTAGGGTTTAGGGTTTAGGGTTTAGGGTTTAGGGTTTAGGGTTTAGGGTTTAGGGTTTAGGGTTTAGGCCCCAGCGACTCCCTACTTGGAAGGGCAGGGGACTTAGGAAGGGCTCAAAAAAAAGGGCTCCTTAAAGGGATCTATAGGGTTCCTTAAAAGGGGTCTATGGGGTTTAGGGTTTAGGGTCTACTTGGAAGGGCAGGGGACTTAGTAAGTAGGTTATAAGTAGAGTTATAAGTACCCTAAATGGAGTTACCCCAATTATAACCCTACTTATAACCTACTTTCTAAGTCCCCTGCCCCTCCAAGTAGGGTTCCTGAAAGGGATCTCTATAAGGGATAGGGTTTAGAGGACTCCACTATTCCTTAATCAAGGAATATACCTTAAAATACAGGAAGGATCCTTAATATGATTTAAGGAATACTCCCAGAATTAAGTGATATCGGGGTTTCTGGCTCTAAGGGCTCCTTTTAATTATAGTAGGATCATATGAGTTGCGGAATATTCCTTAATCAAGGGATATTGGAGTCTTTGGGACCTTCTCGTCGAAAAATCCCAAAGCCCTGAACCTTGGGTACTGCCCCGCATAGTAACAGTCTTTCTCAGGCTACTATGCAAAGCCTCATAAAACTGCATTCTGAATATTTTCACGTGTTGCTGAGTGGGGGCAGAACCTAAACCCTAAACCCTCAACCTTTAACCCTAAGCTTCGGGAGGGCTTTTAGAGTTGCAGTTGCTGCTACGACTGCAACTCCGACAGCAAGCTCCTTTCTGCATTAGGCCAGCCAGCTTCGGTGGGTTTTGGGTTTGGGTTATACTAGATTCAAGATGTTACCATAGTTATATAAGAACTTTTAGGGAATGTTCTTGGTGTTATATTGTGCTGCAGATATAAACGCACTTTGAGGGAATGCGCCTGCAAATTTGCTCGACCTCTGCATTGGCTGTCAAAAGTTGCAGCTATGCGACGTTAGCACAGCGTCGAAGGATGTTTTTTGCGCACACCCTTAACCCCAAAGCCAAAAACCTAAAAACCAGACCCTAAACCCTAATGCAGAGACTGAATAATTAGAAAAGGGTACGGGGGTTTATTTTACTATAATCATAATAAAAGTAGTATAGGTAAGTATCTAGACCCTAAACATCAAACCCTAAACCGTAAATCCTAAAGCCGAAACCCTCAAGCCTTTTTCAATGCTTGCACAGACATATCCGAGTTTGCACTGTGAGACGGCACGCAAGACTTAGCTGCTGAGTTCATAAGCTTAAAAAATGTAAACTCTAGGGTTTAGGGGAGAATGATATCCGAGAAGTGTAAAGGGTATTGATTCAGCTGCCAAGAAGACTTCTGGTGTGCAAGATAATGCAGACCTCCGATTTAAACGGCTCCCTTTTATAAGGACGTTGTAGGGACCCCAGAAGTGTGGTCCGTAGGAAATCTGTTCATCTAACGAAGGTCTACATTGCTCTGGGCGATCCTGTTTGTAGCAGCCTGATCTCGTGCACGCTGCTTAAGGGCCCGAGGGACTTAGCAAGTAAGGTTATAAGCAAGCGGCTTGCAATCCCAATTACAACTCTACTTACTGAGTCCTTTGGGCCTTGAACTAGCAACACACTGGACACTTTTCCTTGCATTCAGGGTTGACCCAGATACGTAAACGATCAGGACGCGTAATATACGAGGGTGTATTATAGAAGCCTACTTACTAGGTCCCTTGGGCCTTTAAGCGGCTTTACCAGCAGGCGTGCCATGAGGCCCAGCATGCAATCAACCACGGCGATTGGCATCTTCTTGATCTTCTGACCCTAAACCGTGAACATTAGGCTTAGGTCTCAGGGCTTCTTTAACCCGTAAACCCTAAAGCCCGAACCCGAAACGCGCAACCAGAAACCCTAGAACCCCTGGGGCTGAATCCTAAATCCTAAACCCTACCTTTTCAAGGAACTTTTTAGGTTTAGGGTTTAGGGTCTAGGGTTTCGGGTCTTGATATAAGTTACCATGACCGGGATCTACAGCACATAATAGGGTTTCCTTGTTCTGGTAGCTAAACCGCAAGATTAACTCCCTCAACAAGAACAACTAAGCCCTAAACCTAGCAAGCCTTCAACCCAGCAAACCCTAATCCCAGTAAGCCCTAAACCCAATCTCTGCTGCCGCAAACAATAAATCCTAAACCCTCAACCCTAAACCCTTAACCCTAAACTCTAACTCTGCGGCTTCTTAGGCCGGCGTCATCATCTGGTTCATGAGCCTGGGCTTTGAAGTAAGCAGGGAAAACAAAGGGGTTTCGGGGTACAGTGTACCATAACCATATCAAGGAACCCTCACAATAGTATTGGTAAACCAGGGAGAAAAAAGACAGACTTCTGCTTCATACTGGTTCTCTTTAAGTAGCAGGTCCCCCAAAAAAGTAGTAAAGTATGGTACCCCAAGGCCCCTTAAACCCCCAAACCCCAAACCCTTAAAAAAACTAAACCCTCAAAACAAACCCTAAACCCTAAACCCTAGAACACCCTAAACCCTAAACCCTAAAACCCTAAAACCCTAAAAAACCCTAAACCCTAAACCCCAAAAAGACCCTAAACCCTAAACCCTAAAACACCCTAAACCCTAAACCCTGAAGCCTAAAGTACGGTTGATGATATAAATCCTGCATTACCCATAAAAAGGAATATACCATAATTCCCATAGTTTAAGGACCTTAAGGTAATGCAGGATTTATATCTTCACCCTAAACCCTATAGATCCCTTAAAGGTACCCTTATAGATCCCTTTAAAGGAACCCTTAGGATTTATATCATCAACCGTATGGTACCCCAAGGCCCAGGTGCATGGTGCTCACCTTCGTATGTCCTGCCCGGTCCGCTAGCTCCTTTGGCTCTTCTTGGGGAGCTTAGGGTGTGCTTGGGGGCTCTTAAAGGGCTCCTTAAAGGGATCTATAGGGTTCCTTAAAGGGGATCTATGGGGTTTAGGGTTCTTGGGGGTTTAGGGTTTAGGGTTTAGGGCTAAGGGCTTAGAGTTTAGGGTTTGGGGTTCAGAGTTTAGGGTTTGGGTTTTGTTAAATGAAGGTGTAGGGTTTAGGGTTTAGGGCACCGCACTAGCAAGCAAGGCATGGCATTTACTGTGAACCCCTCTTGTGGGCACTGAAGTTAAGTACGTCAACAAACACCCAAAAGACTTCTTCCATTAAGACATGTTTGGCTTTAGGCTATACCGAACGTAGACCCCTGGAAAAATTACGATTTTCGCTGTTTCCTAACAACGAGAGATTAAAAATCCTTTCTAAGTTGCCCTAAACCCTAAACTCAAAGGGGAAAAGGAGGGACCCTTAATGGGGACCCCTACCCTATAATGGGCCTATAATAAGGGTATATACCTAGGGGTCCTTATTAAGGGTCCCTCCTTTTCCCCTTTGATAAACCCTAAACCCTACTAGATTAGGGAGCCCAGTCTCGTAAGCCGTATACTTCCGCTGTCCGCCCTCGTCAAAGGTGTGGTGAACGTCCGCCTGGGAAGCAAGGGTTAAGAGGCCGTAGAGCTCGGGATTGCACTAAGGTTTAGGGGAGTGTATGTTCCTTGGGGACCAAATGACCCTGATAAGTAGGGGCCCTATACCCTTATACTATGAATCCCTACACGGTACAAGTAGTAAGTACTAGGTTTTTTGTTATGGTATCTTATATTCAATCCTTTAACAAGAACTCCCAGTAAATTAGGGTCACTGAGGTCTCCCCTTAAAGGGATCTACAGGGGTTAGAATTCCACAAGGGTTGAGGTTTAGGGCTTCGGGAGTCTGGGGTTTAGGGTTGAGGGTTGGAGTATCATGTGACTTAGTAACTAAGGTTAGAAGTAGCTTTTAAGCAATTACAAGTATAGGTATCCTAATGTTGACCCTAGTACTAGTTTCCATGATCCTTGAAGCATGGGAGCTTTAGTGATTAGAAGAGGGTTTCTTTAAGGATTCCTTTAAAGGTTCTGTAAGGCTTGTTAGAAGGGTCGAACCCCAAACCCCAAACCCCGCAACCCTGAACCCTAAACTCTAAACCGCTTGGGGCACCGGCCGTGCCTTGTTCTCGAGCAGCAGAGCAACCACGCTAACGTGACCCTGCTCCTTTGGACTCTGCGAGATCCGGATGTGAGGCTTTCTGGGAAGGTGATGGGAGGCCAAAAGGCTCTCAAGGTTCCGTCAAGGCATCCTCTCGAACCCTTATAGATCCCGTCGGTTTAGGGTTTAGGGGTTAGGGACAGGGATTAAGGGAACCCTTGTAGAGCCCTCATGGGTTCCTTTGTCGATTCCTTTTAGAGGTTCCTTTGCGGCGGGTTCCTCTAAGGGCTCGCTGCAGGGTTCCTTTACGGCTTCCTGTAATTATAGGGATCCTTAGGGGTGTCGGGGGGAGGGGTGTAGGGGACTATATTTCCTTAAATAGGCCTTATTAATCCTTATTATGGGCCTTAAGGCCCCCTACCCCCCCTCCCCCTACAC